ATCTCTCAAATGGTGACTCTCGTTCATTGCTCTTCGGAGCACGATTGCGCCGGTTTTCTCGCAGGCGCTGGCAGACATAAGCGATGTCGCTGTGGTTGCGTTTCCTGCACGATGTTTCCCGTGTACGGAACTCGCAAACACCGCTTCCGTGTCGCAGGTGATAACACGAAGGATTATTTTGCGTTTCTTATTTGTTCTTGCTTTCCGGGCACGCGCAAAACCATACGGCTTTCTTCAGAGCGCGCACCCGCGCAGTTCGCTCGCTCTAAGCAAGTACACGTTGGTTTCTCTGCATGCATGCGAGTCTAGCGGTGATTTCTTCCAATCACCGCTCGGCTGCCGAATCAGAATTCATTTCATTGGATGTCAGCCCGTCATACCAATAGTTACGAGTTCAGAATATCAAAAGTTTCTGAGCGAGCGTCATCTCAAAAGTGTGCGCAACGAGAAGATAGGGATTTGATCAAAGGTGACTTTTCTTCCTCGGCACTTAAACACACAACGAAGGGCCATCCAGCGGCTTGAGGAGGCCCTGGCAAAGCAGACGAGAAAGGGAACCGACGCCCCGGACAACGGGAGCGGAGGAGCCCGAGTATCCAATGCCTAGCCAGAGCACAACATCCTCAAGATCTAGAGCCTGGGACTATAGGACTATTAGCTATAGTTTTTAGATAGGGAATACCCGCGCCCTGCGCGGACTTCCCGCACGCCGGATGCACAAAAATGTTGTTTCTCTCTTCTCTCTCTCGGCGTTTCCACTTGAGGCCCGTTCGTGAGCTTATTTTTCCACTTCCGTGAACTACAGAGACGTTTATTGCAACGAATATTATTTAAACGTCATATAAGGTTAGAAAAGAATTTTTTTAGCTGTTGCTTATAAATAAGCCCCAACACAAACAATTGTCACTTTATGGTCACTCTAAAAAAATTTACCACACTTTTTTTTTCTAAAACAGATGCAGCTGGAAATTTTAAATCAGCTATTGAACCCGCACGGGTTGCAAAGAATTCCGCCTGTGAACTGTGTGTGCTCCCCGAGTGTGCTCGTGATTGTGTGTACCTTCTCATCTTTGGGCAACCTCTTTTCTCCCCTTTATCCCTTCCCCAGTGCAGGGTAGCAAACCGGATATGCGTCTTGTTAACCTCCCTGCCTTTCCTTGTATCTTTATCTCTCTTTCTCTCACTGGAAGAGCTTATTTCGTCACGAATTCAAAGCCGCAAAAAGTTTAAGAATCCGTCTGGTACGAGCGGAGTTGCAAATACTTGTCGCACGCTGCCAACGCATTCTCTCTTCTCTCGTCCCAACGAAAGCACTGGAAGCTAAGCAGGGAGGGGTGAAAGGGGCAAAGAAATACGTCATGCGCACCTCGTGACATTGAGTACTTTTTTTATTTTTTTCTTTCATTGCGTGGTTCTTTTGTGATCGCGCGACACACGTGCACAAGTCGCGAACTCCCGCGGCGATCTGTGTAACGACAAAGGGCGCCATGTTCAAATCAGCCAATGGCTGATAGATGGGTTTGTCACTTATGATTTTTCAGCATCTTCCGTCATTTGTCGAGAGAAGAGAAAGCAATTTTTAGCTGACTTTGGTAATGTGAATTCCAGGCCACGTGCTGCGCTATAATATTTCGCTCGCGTGTTGTCGGGAGCCTCTACTAACCATCGGCAGCGTTTTCTAACCGCGCTCAAAAAGTGTTGCAGGGCCCCTTTAAGGCCAAGGGCGTTCGTTACGCTGTGAAAAACATTTTCAAAAAGACCAATCAAATTTTTTGCGCCAATTCCGCATAGTAATTTTTACTGGCGTTTGAAGAAAGACAAAGAATAATAGAATTATTCCACGCGACTGCCACATTTTGCCATCGTAATACAGAACTCGCAACCATAAGTTTACACAAAAAAAAAAAATCATCCACACGAAACGCTCCCAAATGAGCGGCCGCGGCTGCAGCAGCTTCACAGCGCGTCAGCATTTCTGACGGCCACAGTAAGCCAGGAAGCGCAGTCGTACGTGATAAGCGATGTATTGACGACCCCCCCACCCCCCCCCCTTTTTTTTTCACCCGTTTTGTGTGAATTTTTGTGGAAGATAAATCGCACATCATAAAAACAGCCCTTTGGAAACATGCGGAAAGAATAGGAAAGAGATCAAGGATAAGCTCTGTATTCTGAGTTCACAAAAGCATATGCACCTACCTTGTCATGTTCACAGCAATTGTGATGATGATGAAGAGGATGATCCTCTTTCTGCTGGCGCTTACCCCCAAAGGTGGGATCGGCCAAGATTCGGGCGGTAGGATCTTTAAGTTATAAAGACTTATGAATGAAAGACTTTCAATGGAAGTTAAGACTAAATACTTAAATCGTAAATAATGAATGATGTTTGCAGTGGTGTCGCTGGCTTCGCTGTTTTCTTTTGCTTTGCCGTCGTTTAATCGTGACAATATACTGCGGCAAGTTTCTAAAACAAAGATGGTCATTTCGTAACTTCACAACTTGACGACGTCCTGTGGCGGGCGCCAACATATTAAAGAGTCCTCTTCAACAGAGAAGTATACGTGTACTGTACATCCACTGGACAAATAAGTTACAGATATACAACTTAAACATCCCAATACGTGATATCGGCTATGGGTTTTTTTGGCTCACAGCTAAATAGTGTTTTTTTTTTTTATTAACAGGGCTCTTCAAGCTTGGACTAAAGCTATTTCCGCAGACAGAAACCTCGGCCAGAAAGCGGGCATGTGCCAAGCCGCTAACAAAGAGGTGGGAACGGGAAGTGGGTGTCAGGAGGAGTTTCGTGAAGTGAGGGGAAAACAAAAGCCAGAGGGTAAGGCGTGTCAGTTTATGCGCCATAGATATATCATGTAGCATAGCTATATGCTTTATAAGCTATATGGGTCTGCGCCACAGAAAGCAGACATGTGCCAAGCAGCTCCTAGCATGTGTAGCATATCGATGCACAGTAAAAATAGCAAGGGAATGGGAAAGTAAAGTGAGGGTGAGGAGGAGTGATGTGAAAGGGAGGATGAAGATATCTAAAAGTTAAGAGGGTAACGCATGGCATATCCCCAAGTTTGCAGCAGGGGTCTCAAACTCACATCAGCCGCAGTTATGAAATTTAGTCCTACGAAGTTGCACTCGACATGAGCTGTATATTCTAAATGGCCTAACACTTCATGGCAGCACCGTCCGAGAAAATTCGGTTAAATGTTCCTATTACCGATATTCTGTAAATCAGCTTAACGTTTCAGTGCCGCAATGAGCGCTACTGTACGTGCAGAGTATATCGAGATCCTGAGCTAGGTTGCACATTGCAAGCCTACTGGCAAAGCAAAATGAGCGAAAGGGAGATAGACTGGCAACACTCTCTTCTGTACTTCGTTCGATTAGCACTCCACACTAAATAAAATTTTCGACTCATGGGCGCCGCTATTTTGGGCTGAAGGGCGATTGTTTTTCGGTTTTTATGTCGTAACGAGAAATTATGACGGTCATGAAACGTTGAACGTACCAGCCCAAGTGTTTACTTGCGTGCACGTTCACCGTAGCACGGTTCGTTTATTTGACACGGATACAAAACTGCAACGTTATCAGTCCAAGATGGCGGCGCTTGAACAGGTCCGGAAAATGGTGTCACTATTTCAAACTTACATACTACGAAGGTGAGCATTCAAAATTACTAACTCAAGGGTTCGTTTTGACCAGGATTAATTATCTTCGCAACACCCCCTACTCTTTGCTTTATATCGAAACTATACAGTTTCATTAAAAAGCGCGGCAAACTAAAAGTGCCACTCATTGAGCGGCACTTTTAGTTTACCGCGCTTTATAATGCAAACTAAAAGTGCCGCCCGACGGGCGGCACTTTTAGTAATTTCAAATGTAAGTTTTTGAACAAATAATCAAATCCTGCTCCTTGCACAGAGGTCGACTGAAGAGGCTATCGCGGTGACTCGGTGACTCCAATTGACGTTATGTGAAGGAGGGGCATGGCACCCCACTCACTTTCTCTCTTTCAAACACACACACACACACACACACACATAGAGAGAGAGAGAGAGATAAAGGCCACTGCTTGCGAGTGAATCTGTTATCTCCATACTTCATCACATTGTCCCCATGGTCTCCTGTAGGGGGTCTTTATCATTGGAGCGAAAAGAAAAGAAAAAAAAAAAGATGCATGCACTGCATCAAATGCCACTGGTCTCATAGAACATTTACCATTGGTTGCCTCTGTTTCCTCTTATCAATTTCTTCAAACAGTACGCGCCTCTTAGTAACTTAACGTCCATGCCACAGGCCTGTTCGATCGACCTCATGCCACAGTCACCAGTAGTATAGTGAATCGATAGCCCGGTCAGTATGTGGAGCAGGATCTAACATTTGAGGGCACTATAGGCGCCGTGCACTAGGCGGCGGTTATGTAGTATTTTTTTAAAGATTCGCGCGCTTTAAAGAAAGGCTGCAAATGGATTCAGCAGGCTGGAAACACCTTAGCTTTGTAATAATAATATCTGGGGTTTGATGTCTCAAAACCACAATATGATTATGAGAGACGCCGTAGCGGAGCGCTCCGGAAATTTATACCAGCTGGGGTTCTTTAGCCTGCACCCAAATCTAAGTACATGGGCCTGAAACATTCTCACCTCCATGGAAAATTCAGCCGACACAGACACTTTAATTAGCCTAGATTAAATATCTCATCTTTCTGAACAAGCAGCCTAACTTTTGTATACGCGATTTTTCGCTTGCGTTACGATTTAAAAGGTCACTATAGGCCTTTTTTGTTAATCACCGAGTTCTGAGGCTTATAAATATTATCCCGACCTGCTTTATATGGCTCAGAATACTGCACCTACGAGATGCGTAGCGACTACGTTTCTTTTTTTTTTTTAATCATGCTAGCAATGGCTGGAACACACTGTATGTTATGCTTGCGACCTGCAGTGGACGTATGTGTTGCCTGTTGCTACAAGTTAAGGCACGAGTAAACCACCTGGCCTCACAAATGTTTAATTGGCAACCTTCAAGTTCCTTGCAGCATTTCCAAGAAAGGTGCAGTTACAACAGTGCAAAATACGTGCAGTATGTACCCACAACTGCAGTGCACTACCAAATAATCATAAGCATATTTGACCATTTACATGACCACACACATGATTACTTACTACCACAACAGCACGAATGCCATATGTGACAACACTGCTGAGCAATGCAAATGTTGTGCTTACACCATTTGCATATCTGAATACAAAACAGAAGGTACAATGTATTAAAGCCAGGCGTGTGGAGGAGGTCGTTAATAAAAAAGTGCCAGCACTAACAAATATAGCATGCTCTTCATACAAAGCTGGCCACTTTCATCTCTACTCCAGCCTTTTTTTAACGAAACAAGTGTGAAGTTGTACAAATCTATGCTATAGCATTATGCCGGTTACATTCATTACTACCAAGACAGCGTAAAAACAAAGCTAAATAAAGGACATTTTGCAGTGATTGGTAGCTTTCTATATACAAGTGCTGTTGATAACCATTGATAACCAGGACACACATGCAATTTACTACAAGTATAGTTATATGCTTGTAACACATTTCCAGCAACTGACAAGAGGCAGCAAGCTGCAAGCCATTCCAGGGAAAAACTACGCAAGCCTACATTAGTCCGCGTGGTCTGTTTTGCCACTTTGTACAATCACAATCGCAACGCAGTTCAAGTCAGCAAGATGTTTCTACTAAAATATATTGTAAATCTGCATACGGTAGAAAAACCTGCATCCAACTTTGCAGCCACAGGGCAACATAAAAAATTGCGTGCATCAAGACAAAAACTTGCTATAATACGGAGTCATACATGTCACAAATGTTGTAGTAAATGAGAAGGGAAAATAAAGGACCAGACTTTGTCGTGGCAATATGAAGCCAACAGCTGACAATTACAACAAAAGCACCGGGAAGCGATTCGCTGTTAAATTAGGAGCAAAGCAATGATAAAAAGAAGGATAACAAATGGTCTAAAGAAAAGCCTACTGCTGGTCAGATGAATAGAAAATGCAGCTTCAGCTCTCGTAGTTCTCATGGAAAATAGGTTTTGGCCCACAATTGGTGTGGGTTGAACTCAGTAGCTTAAAGGAGTTTTTTTTTTCCCTCACATTTGCTTTCATTTTTAGCATTCCCGTTTTCCGGTCAGCAAATAACTTCACTTGTGCTTCCCTTGGCTTTTATAGTAACGTGCAGAGCACTTGGCATGACACCCGCGTAAAACATGCTGGACGAGTAGATTTCAGTCGTACCTTCATAACAGGTGGAATGTTGCCCGAAGAGGCATTCAAACCAGCACCTGCTTGAGGTCGTGTAATCAGACAACAGCAAGCACTCTCTAGAAACTTTTTAATGCTCACAGCATCACATTCACCACCATAAATAACGAATCTGAATCGTTCATCCAACAACTTTCTCACACATAATACTGTCATCCATGAACATTTCAGGTTTAGTCTATGCACGGACACTTGGACAAGTAATATTTATATATGTATATGTATGTTTATGCATATATATAATATATATGTATGTATATATTTAATATTTATACAGCACTTTGCATACTCAAAATATCATCTGACAGCTTGCTTGCAGACAATGCACCACTTCATACATGAAAAAAAAAAAAAAGAAACCTCTAACTGCATGTCCAGATGAATATAAAAAGACTTTTAAAAACCCACAAGAACATAGCATCACACCGGGTCCATAGAATTCACAAACTCAAGTGAGGAAAGTTTCACTAGACTAGCCACACACACAACATGGCCACGGTCACCATGTTACACACATAGCATGTGGAGACTACGAATACCGTGGCTTGTAATATCATGCCTCTAGAAAACAGGTGTAACCTATGTGGACAAATACACACACATATGTCAGGTACAATATATACCAAACAGTTACAAGCAGACGCACATGATAAAACAGAAGAGGAACACCATTCTTGGCTACCTGGCAAACAAGCAACACATTGTCCCGTTCCATCCGATCAAGGCACTCGATCGTCCAAAACAAAAGCAGTGCTGTCTTTGTGGCCAGCATTTTCCCAGAAGACCTGGCACTTGCCATACACCACAAAGTCTGATAACTATTATGGCCAGGCATGCCTTGAAAGATGCAATGCCAAAACAAGCGCTAAAAAAAGGTGGCCAAGGCAGCCTGACTCTCAAGCACTGCCTCTGAACAAAGGCTACCAGAAGGCCACCACGCTATTTCCATGCATCCAAGGTAACCAAGAAGGCAAGCATACATAATGACAAGTACTAACATTAAGAAATGCCACAAGCTTAGTTCTTGCAAGTTTAACAACAAACTATTTGCAAAACAAAGCAATCACCAAAATTGAGTGCAAAAAAAATGCTGCTGGAATTGACACAGTGTTCTTTTTTTTATCCTATACTTATGCTCACATTGCTCAGAAAAATGATTAAGTGCTCTAAAAATAAAAAAAAATAAAATGTGTAGCCTGAAGTGCGACTTTAGCCAAGCAACGATATTACAAATGATTATTTTAGAAAGTGCACAAATGTATACACAACATTTTCAAGCAGGCATACCCTAAGAACGAGCAGTGTATATTTGACTTGAAATGTGAATAACACTTCAGCAAATATACACACTACTTGAGGCTGACGCATGTGCGTTTAAATACACATGCACCTCCTTTACTGTATTAGCGATGAAATTAATCTACTGTCAATGTTGTGAACACGTCCCATGAATTGCATGAACACGGTGCCAACTCCAAGAGATGCAGCAGATGACTGCATCTGTTGCGTATCACGGTTTCAAGCAGAGAGCTCTGCTGGACATAAAAAGATTTCACACTACGACAAGGGCACCTTAAAAAAAAAATAGGCTTCCCTATCACCTCAATAAATTGTCAACCATAAGGCCACATTATGAAGTGGCATCACACATTACAAAAGCTCCGGAGCAATGAAAGCTCTGGGGGCATTAAAACAAAAACAGCTATTCCTTTTAAGAACTACAGAGAATGGATTGATAAAAATGCCACGGAGTAGAAAAAAAAAGTGTAATGAAAGCTTAATGGTTAGTTAGGCTACGTATGCAATGCACTTATGAATTATTTCTCTGTTCCAAGTCATATTCTGTTGTATGAAAAAAACTATATATATCAAGATAAGACAAGAGAAAGACGAAAAACCTGTGTTCTTACGATTCTGCCCATAAGAGCACATTGCTAATGCTGTATCTCGACCACAATGCTGCCACAGAACCACACATTCACACTCCACAGCACATGATCATGTGGTTCTACAATGGGGAGGTGCAACCCTCTAAGAAAGTGAAGAAAGAAAAATAAAACAATGTGCAAGAAGGATGGGGTTGCACACAGACGACGTCTGCCAGATTCATATCTCTCGTCGATGTTCATGTTTGGAGACGAGCACCTCCAACAGTCGCATCCGAGCCTTGACATGCTGCAAAATAATCCAAGCTTTCGTAAGTACCTTGACACAATGTAGCTCGCAAAAGTGCAGTTGTATCACATGATTGAACTTCATACATGAGGTTGAGAAATCACTTAAATGGAACAAAGGACTGGATGGTCAGTTTATGGCTTGTTTGGTGTTTGGTAATGCTACAAGACTTTCATTATTCAGAACCAGAATTTTCAAAACTCTGTATCAATAAAACCATGAAGCAAGCTTCAAGGGATTTTCCCAAAAGAAAGAAAATCTGAAAATAACTCTTGCAACATCTATAATTCATCTAAGAAAGCCATCTTTAACAAACGGTGACCATCAAACGACCTCCACAACTGTGTGATACTCAACCACACATTGATGCAGCTAGGGCCATGTTTTATTTTATGGGAGCCGCGACTGCGAGTGCGCCAACTGCAGGAAGAAGAAGATAATGAAGATCGTGAATGCGCTCTTGGCACACGGCAGCCGCTGGCAGCGGGCAGTTGAGGCATGTGTTTTTATCAGTAAACATGGTTTCTGTAGGTCTCCGCCTCTTCCCCGAGGGGTTCTCAGACTAGCCATAGCCCCGAAACCCCTACAGCTGATCATCATCACATCATCAGCTTCCTCTTGAAACCAAAACTATCAGTGCCTGGTCTGTCTCATAGCTATAACCATGCCCTGTCACACTGAACAAACTGGATGATGTATATGCATTATGTGTAAAGAGACCTTGCAACACTTTCCCAAGTAATCCTCCAATGGTTTCATTAAATGTGTTCATTGCCTCACAAATCAATGGCCACAAAGATTTTTAGAATCCAACAAGTACCCGCAAAGTTACAGAGATTTGTCACACATTTTTAAGTGCTTTATCTCTCCTTTTATACTAGCAAGCATGTTGAAAGCTACGCAAGAAGGAAGGATGATGATGAAAGGGCGAAAAGCTATGTTTATTTAGCAGCGTGTCATGACCTTGCGCGCTTTCTTTTTTTTTTTTCTTTGAATGTGCGGTTAACGTTGAGTGTGATCGCCAGCGAGCACATTGGCACGTCAGCATCCCGTGACATGCCCATGCAGCTCACAAAGGTCAAATTACTGTAAATTCCAGGCAGCACGCTGCGCTGTATTGTTTGGCTCACTTGTTTATGGGAGCCGTGACTTGCAAGTGTTTTCTGACCACACTGAAAATGTGTTGCAGAGCCACTTAATTTAACATAAGAGGGCCTATTATTAGGCCTGTGCAAATATTCAAATGAATAGTGCAGTATTCGAATTCACTTCTATATGATGTTAAATTATTGAAAATTTCAAGTATTCAAAACAAATTAATATATGTATATTAGTCGGCATGCAACCACCTGTAAAGTCACTGCATTCAAGAGATACTAAGCCATGAGAGCTCCTATTCAGGCGCACATTAGTCTGTGTGTAATTCCCTGGAACGGCGGTTTTTCTGCAAGCTGTGAGCACACATATCCAGGGAAAATCTGCACTGCCTCGAAACCTCACTTCACGGTTAAATGAAAGTATCACCCTCACATCGATTCATTTAACTTTAAAAGCTTGTTACAGTTCCGACTTACATTCTCTTAGGAAATTTTAAAACTTGACATATTTTACAGGCTGTCACTTGCATTCTACTGAAAGTCAAATCCTGCTACTATTCAAAGTTGTTTCAACTTCCTTTGAAGCGAAAAATTGGCATTTGCACAGGCTTTGCTTCAATTTTTTTATTGTGCAGATTAGTTAGGTCATCAGAAATATGCCCATTTTTGTTTAATATATGTGGTATACATTATTCTAATTCGTCTTAAAATTCTTCTATCAAAACTGCCATTCGATTCGAACCTAAAGTTCCATATTCGCACAAACCCACATATTACAGACTGTACTGCACCACCTCTACACATATCTCAGTAGATAGAACTTCTGTCAAGTGTAATCCATACTGACAGTCCCTCAAAGTTCCATTCAATTAGCTTATGATGTACATTAACATGTTCAGACAATGCTTAGGAATGAGAAGTGCTAAAAAAATGAACGCATCACAATAGGAATAAGAAGTGCTGAAAAAAACGAATGCACCACAAAATGGAAAATGTAACTCCAAGTCATGGCAACAACATACCATTAATATGTTTGAACATGTGAAATACAGCCAGTCAAACCCAGTTCAGATGCTGATCACTGAGATTACCTTAATTTCTTCATACGAAAAGCACCAAAACATACTGCACATATTTTGTTTATTGAGAATACTACAGCCTCGATAGACACAGTAGCTCCCTTCCAAGAGGATGGCAGATGCCTTGCCAGTATGAGCTCTGATGCTTATTTTTTCTAAAATGCAAGCTCGTCTGTGCCAGCATGCCTTCGACAAGATGTAAGCCTTTACCTTGTACTCACAGTACACCGAGTCCATTGGGGCCTTATCTTCTTTTTGCACTTTCCTGAATAAAGAAGGAAGAAGAAAAACTTTAGTGGTACACCTTTGCCGCTGTAATTAATAAAGGTCTCAAAACAAGAGCTTTATAGCAGCTGTTAGTGAGAGCTACCACATCCCGACAGCACATTTTCGCGCACAAATACTGCTTCACACAGACCACCACTATCACTGTTCGCTTTATTTAAAGGAACACTAAAGAGAAAAGTAATTTGAATCATACTAGTAAATTACTCTTTGAGAATACCGAAACAATGACAAGATGCTTGGCAAGCTAGAAAATGAAAACTAAAAACACAATTTCGCAAAGGCAAAGCAACAATTATGATAGCAATAAATAGTAATGCTTGTTTTTTTATTAAACAATCTAAGAGTGACAGCATTTGATATCCAGTCCACTGTAACTCGACATTTTAAAAAAACGTGGCTGCTATAAGGAGAGGACAGCGCACCATGTAAGAGAGTATATCAATCGTCTACTAATGCCAGCCAAGATGGCGCATGCACTTGTGATCGTGACTGCACCCTGAGAATTTTAGGTTCACAGCTGCTCACTGATGCAGACTGCCCACTTCAGTACCGATGTGCATCAGGGTGAAACGGTAAAAGGTTGCAGACTAACAGTGCTGAAAAACACTTACTAGTACATAGTTCACTGAACACTTATTAGTGTTAAGACCTGCTTACATATCATGCATTCCTGCTGTGAAGAGGACTTCATAAGAATGGTCATGTCATGTTCGCTGAATATCGGGCTCAATAAAATACGGTTTTCTATGTTATAGATGCTATCTTTTTTACAGATAAAAATTGTTCTGACATTCTTGGTGTAAACAAAAGGCTCTTTTAACAACTACAGACTGCTTAAACAACTCCAGTTTGCTTTAAAAGGTCAAGTTTCTACATAATGAGATTTTAATGCAACAATGTAAACTACTCCTTTCACCGAATTTGTAAACTCAAGGTTTAACTGCATATTAAAAAAAAAAGGAGGGAGAGCAATGAAAAACTAGGGGGTGGCTGCCATTGCCAATGAGTCCCGAAATTGGACACCACCACTCCTTCAACTGACAAAGCTACAAGTGAATGAAAGTCGCAGCAAGTAATTACCTTCCAGTTTGCTTCTGGAATTCCTCTTCAAATTCTCTCAGCAACTTGCGAAGCCGGCGCTTTTCAAGTTTAGACTGCTGCTGCTGTTTAAGCAACTCAGCCCTGTAAGAAATACAATGAACTATTAAAGCAATGCACAAGTTTTATTCCAAATAACATAATCACTTTAATGAAAGAATTTGTAACAAAAAAGCATCACAGTTACGGATGCCGAGGTAGGCCGGCTAGCACATTACTGGAGTGTAAAACAAAATGAGATGAAGTCAAGTATTGACACTTTCTAGATTGTTTTTACCGTTAGTCTGTGCTGCAAGAAAATCTTGCAACACAGAAGGTTGTAACCACATCAAACATCAGCTGAACTTTGGTGTGTGTACAGTTGCCAGCTGATAATTCTAACTAAAAAAAAAAGTCTGAAAATCTTAATTATCGAAACCATAGAAAGCATAGAACTAAGTTCCATTATTCAACAAGGATATTTTCAGGTAAATCAGCTATGTGGATAACATACATTTCATGCGACTGGGGCATGACACATTCGTGTGTACAGCAAACGTATACTTGGTACAGCACAAAGTGAGCACCTTGGCCAAGTATGCTGACTCATCTTGTCATGTTACCTTTGCTAGAAAACTCTGTGCCCATCAAAGTCTGGTGCTAGCTAAGTGAAAATATCTCAGAAAGAAAAGTATCTTCAAAAGTGTCTGCATGGGAATATGGCTCAAACACGGCTGCTCGATCCTTCCCTTTAGTGCAACCCGCCGAATGCTCCTCGTCGCCTATGAGAGCGCTAGTTCCTTTTCCAGCCGCCGCATCAGCTGTAGAGATAGCTATCGGTGAGACTGGTGTTTCTCCCAAAGCTTCCTTCAGCTGTAGTGAGCCATTTGTACCGGTAGTTTCACATGTTTCTGATCAGTGCTTTGTCATTCTCACGCGGACAGGTCACATTACTTTAGCTCGATTAGTGGTCAATGAATGAGTGGCACATATTATCGCAAGCAATACGACAAACGCAGAAAACAAGACTATTCCGGCTGTGATGCTAAAGCCCGTGTACTATGAGATATCACTGCACGTTAAAAAACTCCAGATGATTGAAAATATCTTAGTCATGCATCCACTTCAGCGTGGCTCATAAATATATAATGGTTTTGGCAAGTAAAACCCGAGATATTATTATTATTAAGAACAGTCCGTCTCGGTGGAACAGTGGCTAGGGTGCTCGACTACTGACCACAAGGTCGCGGGTTCCATCCCAGCCGCGGTGAGCGCATTTCGACGGTGGCGAAAATGCTTGAAGCCCGTGTGCTGTGCGATGTCAGTGCTCTTTAAAAAACACCAGATGGTCTACATTTCCGGAACCCTCTACCACGGCGTTCCTTATAATCAGATCGTGGCTTTGGGATGTAAAACCACACATATGATTAAGAACTAAGAGTTGTATCTAGATCGTTATTTTGCAGCAATTTACTTTTTTACGGGCTAATTCAAGCCCAGTGAAGCCTAAATTTACCCCTGAATACGGCTATATATGTTGATTCTGAGGTATTTTGGAGACATAGGCACTTATTGGAGCAAGCCTAACAATATTGGTAGTAGAAAAAAACATGTTTTTCTCAGTTTCTCTCAAAAAGAAAAAAAACTATGCATGTGTATATATGCGCCGTTAGACCGATGTTGAGCAGTGAAGCAATATCTGATATGCGTGCAGCTGGTGCACTGCTCAAAATTTTTTCGGTCAAATGGTCATTTTTCGCTCTGTATGCCATGGCGAAAAAAATGCTGGGGGGGGGGGGGCACGGGCCCAGTGTGTCACCCCCTGGCTTGCAGTAATATGTTAAAGTCAATCATGCACAACTAATTTGCCTGACAGTTAATTATTTAGAGGTAGAAGGTTCTCTATACATGTGCTCCATTAGATGCACGTGGCGAGTTTTGCTGTCTGTATGAAGCAATTAAGAAAGCACAAGATCGACGTCCTGATCTCACTTTTACGGCAACTCAACATTGCAATAATAATAGCATTGAAAGCATTTAAAATGTAGTGGCTCTAAATTCAGTGTCAACTGAATAGCTGAGGTTAATGTGTATTTTATTTATAAAGATAATACTGTGTGTATTTATTTACACGTCCCGATGCATTTATTCCACGACATATATCTAGGTATAATGTGAATCTGACATTGATCAGTAATGATTTTTTGTACAAAGGTATACAGAGCAACTGTCTTTATTTGCGTGTAGTGACGTACGTATTCATTCCCGCTACCTATATATATATATATGAGTATAATGTGAATCAGACAGTTAAAAGTAATCATTCTTAGTAAACTGTTACATATAAACAATTTATCACTCAAATCTTACAAGATGTGACAAACTGAGGGCTTTGTGGAAAAGTGTTTTCCAAATTTGTCAGAGTATGTTTTCTACCCAGCTGCTAAGAACTATAGCCAGTTGGCCAGGAATATACTCAGTACCCAGGTGAAAATCTCTTGTTGGCTTTCTGCTGGGAGCTACTGGCTTCTGGTGGAACCAGCAACTAACCTGCTGGTTTCCTGATGATTGTACTGGTTTCAGAAGTGTGCTTACAGGTATTCTGCTGGTTTCAGCAGGGTGCTCAATGGTTTTATACTGGTCCCAGCAGGCAACCCATTGACTGCCCTGATCCCAGGAGATCGCTTACTGGTTCTCTGTGCTGGTTCCAGCAGGTTACTGATTTTCTCCCATGGTGCTGCTAGAACCAGCAGCTGACTTGCTGGTTTTCAGTTGGCTTGATCCAATTCCATTAGTGAATGCACCAGTAACAATATAGCATCGCGTGCATTCATAATTAAATTCGTCAAGGTGATAGAGCAGGCTAGCTGGTTGCAATAGCTGGCATTCGTTTCTGTAGCCCGAAAAATACAGGCAAGACAGCGCTCTCTCTCTCTCTCTCTCTCTCCTTCCGTGTCTTTATTATTTTTATTTTTTTGTGCTATAGAAATGAACGCTAGTCATTATTAAAGATGATTTAGAATGGTTGCCACACGTGGTACATGGTGCACATTTTACCATGGTCTCAAGTGTTCTGTACGGCTAAGTTCCCAAATAAATACATCGCTGGAAAAAAAAATGCACCTTTTTTTCAGCTCTGAGCTTTCGAAAGCTCGAATAAGCGAGATACTGAATCCAGTACCCCGTTGGCACAAAAATATTGTTAATTTTAGGTTCAAGGGTAGATGATAAAACAGCGTTTTGTTTCTCGCTTGATTTCGATAGAACTTGGTGAGCTTATGTATATATGCCTGCTGATTTTAAATATGCAATTATTTTTCTTGTATAAGGTGTTGTTTTTAGAATACAAAATATTTAATATGCATTTTGGGAAGCAATTTTTTTTTTGTAACTAAGAGAGCTACACAATAAATTAGCATATCACAATCATCTGGAATTAGGACTGTGTGCAATGCAAAAAAAATGGATGTTCTAAATCTATGTTAACAAAAGTTATGGTACATTGAACATTTAGAGTGAGTCAACTTGAAGCTAGGATTTTTCTGGGAAGTGTTCAACATTCCATTATTTTTCTTCTAGTGGGTTTAGAACATCCATTTTTGTTGCATTGCAATCAGATGTGATTCCAGATTATTTTGATATGCTGATTTACTTTGTAACTCATTTATATTAGACAAAAACTTGCTCCCCAAAAGGTACATGAAATATTCAGTATTTAAAAAACTACACTTTATATGACAAAAATAATTGCATATTTGAAATCAGCACACAAATATACATACACTTGCAATGTTTCATCAAATTTGATCAAGAAATAAAAAACCTTTTTCATAAGTGCTATGTCCCCTAAGCAAAAGCTCAACGCAATTGCAGTTCATTCCACACGGAAAATAGCGTTTTCGTTGTCACCGTTCACCAATCTCTGTTACGATCAGACCACAGAGAGCTTGCTCTCATCTGCTACGATGACGCTGCTAGAGAGGCCAACGCCGCCATAAAGAGCACCACATTGCTACTTCCTGTATGGCACCCAGAATTGCCAAGCATTGAATTTGCCGCCATACACGTTGACTCCTCAGTAGCATTACTCTCGTATCAATTATTGGCGGTTTTTCAAACTAGTACTGAATAGTTGCCTACTTTTTAATACAAATACTGCACAATAAAAAAGTTGTATTATTTATTTACAGGTAAAAGTATAAGAAATAGCAGTCCTATATAACGTGTAAACTGTCATGATGCCTTAGCGCCATAGTTTCGTACAACACATGTTGTGCCCTTGTTGTGACTTGTCTGTCTTTGCATTTGTGTGTTCGCTGTGTTAGTTGCAAATTTCCTCTAGAATTTGTGTGACATTAACATGTAATAGTTTATTTTCGGGTCAGTTTCATCTGTGGAAAGTGTAACAGGTGAATATCGAACTATTTGAGCTGTTCTTGGTGCTGTGCTATGCAGTGCCTTGATTTTGTGAGCGCGGATCGAGACCCAGTGTTTCTCAGCCCCCAATCTTCCCTGCTGGTAAGTTGCATTATTCATTTCAAATATAAGTAAATTATGCATATCCCGAATGTGTCTGTGCTTTATTGAGCTCACTGTCGTTGTAAATTGGTGTTTTCGATGTTAATGCATGTGCATATGCATGCCGATTGATGTAAGCCATGTTCCTTTGTCTCCGCAGAGTAATAAAGTATTAACACAGCGCTTAATTCTAGTTTGCTGAGTGAACTAATGGCGCTGTAGAGATGCAAAAGTTAATTCGCTTGATATGTATGTCCTCGCCCGCACTGCTTCCCGCGAATGGGCGTTATGTAGCACTTTTTAAAGATTGATATCTGCAGTCGCGACCTGCATGGACTACCAAATCTTTTACTTCGTTATAGATTGCCTGTGTCACTTGCCTGCCCTCGACAATACAGACATCTGTGGTGTGGATCAAGGTCCCCTGTGGATTTCCATCCAGAATGATTAAATATCTAGCGGAAGCCGAAGCTGACAGATTACCCTTTTCACGTGTAAATAGATTTTTTAATAAAATGTAACTGATCAATGCTTGTTTGTTGTGTGCGTATTTAACGAACTCTTGAAAAGCAGCACCTTTAGAACTATATGCTCTTGAGGGGAACAAACTTAATCTGCTCATTGGTACCACTGTAACTCGTATTATTACTCCAACTATGTACTAAGTATTACGAAAAATGGAATGTGACGGTTTTACAGCTGTGAAGGGACTAACTTCCTGTTAGAAACGGGCTGAACTTGAGCTGGTTTGAGCTGCAATAAAGCTCGCAGCTGACAATATGCAGCTCAAATTTGGCTTATTGCCAGCATTGTTGCTTGGAGCTGTGCTCCATGTCGGCGAGTTACAAGTTGGTCAACTGCCAGCAACACTGCGCTGGAACCACCAGGTACAGGTTACATCAGCTGCTGGTTCCATCACCTGCTAGTTTCATTGCCTGCTGGTTCGACTGCCTGCAGGTTCCGTCAGCTACTGGTTTCATCACCTGCTGGGAATGCACTATACATAACCAGCACAGATGGGACCAATAGCCAATCAGCAGGAAATTTTCACCCGTGTAGCTTCTTCATAACAGAAGTATAGAAGAACAAAATGGCATCGTATGCTCACCGAACAACTGCAGGATACGACTGTCACAAAATAGGTAGGATGAGTGAGATTACCCATTCACGGGACACAGTGCTAGCACGATTACTTCACCGATGGGCAGCGCCCTCATCCCCCCCATTGTAGCTCGTCCGTCAACTTTACCTTTCACGCGTGCTCTTTTGTTCGGGAAACAACTCAGCAGGCTGCACCAAAGGGAGAGATGGAGCGGCCGTGGCTCAAATCTGTCAAAGCCTTGTTACGTGCACAAAAGTGCCTACCTACCCATGGCCCAAAATGTCCACAGATGCAGTTCTGTAGCGATGCACTTTCCTACAGTTTTTCCCCCGACGTTATTAGTGCTTCAATGGTAGTCAGAGTAACACCCTACCCATATTAAAGGGATCTGTTAATCGATAGCAGTGTATAATATGAGCGGCACCAAATTGAGCGAAAGACATTATTCAATATTGTGACCCCTACCCTGAGCACTGTCATGCTCTTGCCACAAATCAAATAAGTAGTCTACATAGACCATATCTTCATTCCTGAGATTGTTAATGCTGGTCATTGTGCATTTACCAAATGATTGCCAATTTTATGCAAAAGTCTTGTCCACCACTTCTTTCGCCTCGCCACCCTTTTTGGTGTAATTATCAGGGGTAGTATTCACACCATATAAAAATGTCTCCAAGAACTAAAGCAGTTGCTTGGGCTAGTTGGTACAACATAGTTTACAAAAAAACAGCGCATTTTTGTGTGAATTTTGTCTCCAGGAAGTTGCCAGAGACCATGTCACTGTTAATACACACATCAACAAATGCTGCATGTGCAGAACAGAATTTGCATGATGATTCGTGCAAATGAAAATGACTTTGCGGCATCGCTTAGCCAGCAGTAAGAATGGTGATGATCAAGAGACCAGCTACAGCAGCGTCTTGGTGACAGTGGCTAAGTCATGGAGGATGTGCTTTCGCTACCTGCAAGTGTCCAAAGCTGTACAGCTGCCTTGATTTGCTCAATACAAACACACAAACAAAAAAAGAAACTGGAAGCAAAACCTGGAATTTTTTTACAACACAACGTATAACACTTGCCAACCATCCAAAAAATGAACATTTCAGCTCACAGGTGGGCAATTTTTATTATATTTCTCTCGAAATTTTTTTTCAATGTTCTTGGTGCGGTCTTTACATGGGCATACCTGCCAAGTTCAAGGATTCTGAAACCGGGAGATTTCCGCAACAAAGAAGGGGGGGGGGGGGGTGCGCACGGCAAAAAAAAAAAAAAACAAGGACATACAAACAAACAAAAAACATCGAGAAAAACAGAAGGGGGTGAGAGGGGGTCTAAATCGCAAGCGCCAACATCAGCGTTGCAATCTTATAGTGGCTAGGAGCGGTCGAACACACGAGGGTAGAGTTTTTCACTAAGGTGAGAGTCTCAAAGGATCAACACAAGGAGCATAATCTATTTCAGTCAAGACAACTCGCGTGTGTCTTCCTGGGAAACACATGAATGGACGGGACGGCACAGCTGGCTGCCGCAAAAGCGCGGGGCAAAGCTTTGCTCACTACTAGATTGTTTTGACAGAAAACGCGTCTGGCTCCTTTTTATTGCGAGAGCAATTATATGGACAGTCCAGGCTGTTTTTTTTTTTTTTTTTTTTGCCGTCGCCATCACCACCGTCCTTCGCAGTATATGTATACGTATCTATATATATAAACACTCAAAAAAAAAAAAAGGTCGCCCGCGCTCGGTGCCGAGTTCGTCGCGATGCGCCGAGGCGTGCTTATCTCTCACGTGTACTTTGTCCCATGGATCCATGCCTATGCGCATGCTCTTATCCTTTGGTGGGGGAATGAAGTGGCTTCAGCATTCACTGAAACGAAAGCCTTAGTTGCCGGGCCCACAAAGGTCACTTTGGTCTCTGCACAAGCCCCTTTTGCGAAAACATCGTGCTTTTCATACACAGCGAGGTATAACAACTGAACAACTGGGACACTTGTTAGTTTGTACTCATTTGTACTTTCGATTACGTATCGTGCATCGTTTTTGTTTAAACAGCGCATTACGTGTCAAGCGGTAAACGTTGTTAGTTCCCTCTCGTCCTGCGAGTATCGTTTTCGCGCGTCATTTGTGTGGGAACAGCGCGCTGCATGTTTCGATCTGCTTGCCGTTCTCAGCGTTACACTCCAAGTTGTTGCTGTGGCATTTATTGCTTCGCCCTTGTGGTGAAACTGTAACTTTTTTTAAAATTTTTACGTATTTACTGAATCTAAGCTACCGTTGCGTGCCCTCGGAGCTCGTAGATTGCTATCGCATTGCCGCAACCGCAGTTTTATGCGCAGCGGTTGCGGAAAACGGTAGTTCATTTCAGAATCCCCATGCGCTTGGCTGCGCATGCGCCTTCAAAACTAATTCATTTTATGCCATCTACGATAGCATCTGACGCAGTTTTGTCTGCGGAGTTTGCGGAACTTTGACTGGTTGAGTGCACACTTTCGGGGTTCTGTCAGTTACGTTGTCGCCATACATGATCGTGTCAAGGGCGACTGCGGTTTTGTCCACGGCGGTTGTGGCAACGACAATCACACGCACTGTAGAAGACGGTGCGCGCGCCGGTCGCACGCGTACTTCCAAAGCTTCGAGTACGCTGCTCTCAGCCTTTGTGCCACGGTTTGCATACTAAATTTCGTATCACCCGCCGCGATTAGAAAATGTGTTCGGAGCATATGAATTGAGGCCCAACGAACATAGTAAAGTTTGGCTCGCGAATTTCAAGAATTCGTATCTGCTGCGGTTTCGCATCACTGAGATTATACTGTACGTTTACATGAGCGCCTCTTTTACTCATTTATAATAAAATGGGGTAGGTCCCAAAATCCTAGAGCGGATTGAGATGCTTTTTTTGTCAATGCAGCCAGATCATGCACCGAAATTTCGATTTCCAGGAGATTTTCATGACAACCCTACAACCGGAAAAAACATTCATAATCCCGGAGACTTGGCAGGTATGCATGGATGCTGCCATTAAACGAATATGTGTGTTGGTTCAGTAGCCTCGGTATCAAATAAGTACTGGTGATATAACAAAATTAAAATACTGCTGCTTCTGTCCAACTTCGTGGCCGAACAAGCGTGCAGTTGCAAAGCTTGAGTCCGAATTCTTGCAACACACACGACATTTTGTCGAATTTTCAGCAGCCCTTATATGTGGAAATAATGGGGATGGCCAGCGGCGGTGCCACGAAAGTGTTCAAATAAATCAGGCATGTTCAAATTACTAGATTATTGCCAGCAACCGTAGGCGTGCGTACGGGAGGAGGGGGGGACAGCCACCCCTTTTGGTCACCTTGTCGCAAAGTTCGCCCTCTACATTGAGTCATAGGCAAGAAGGCACTGCAACTCGGGGGGGGGGGGGGGGGGGGGGGGGCACACAAAGTCAGCCTCATACATTGATTTCACCCCCCCTGAAGGGGAACCCCACGCACGCCTATGTCAGCAACTGAGCATGTATAATACTCAACACTCTACATGTTGTGTGTATATGTCGTAAGTGCCATGCCAGCCCTCAAGACCGCAAAGATAAGTTGTCCTGTACTCACAGAGGAAGCTCATGCAGATTGGAATCGCTGCACTTGTCAAGGACCATGGGAACCTGCTCAACCACTTCTTTTTTACTTGTGACCGGCTCTTCCACATCAGTGATTGCCTCATTCTGTGCCATCGTGGAAATGGGAGTCACATCATCGACAACTTCTTCGAGCTCCTGCACAGATGAGACAAAACACTTAACATACAGCAGTGAGTAAATATCTTCGCAAACTGGAGGAGGATTTTGTTTCATGGGCAAGGTCACCAAAGCAACAACTCAAATCGAGAATCGAAATGGCACATCCTATTACATACACAATGATAAATATTCAATGTACACCATTTTCCGGACACGCTCAAGCACCGCCATCTTAGACTGATGACGTCGTTATGTCCACATAAAGTAAACAGTGCTATAGCGAACTCACACGCACGAAATTGCCAGGGCCAATACGCTCCTTTTCATGACCATGACCATTTCATATTATGGCATAGAAAACCAGCAAAACCACTGCTTATCAGTCCAAAATGGCGGAATCCATCAATCAAAAGTAATATTGTGCATATATAATAAAAGATATTAAACAAAGGTATACTATGCTTGGCTCAATCACAAATTTTCACAGCTTTCTTTGTTTCCCCATAACTTGCAAGGACTGAACGATAAATTGCAGCCATTTTTTGCAATCATTGCCGATTCTGAAAGGGTCTGCTCAGGTGTTCACTGCTCTTTATTGCACCATTTCTATAAAATATTTGGTGCTTAATAGAACTTCAGTGCCTCTATTCCAAAATTTTGTGTTACAAAGGGTTCCGAGTCCTGACACCTTTTAACAGACAGACTTCTCAATCACCTTCAAAAATTATCCAAAAATCTACTCAGAGGCCAAAAATATAGTCAGAGAAGCCCACAATGCAGCACATCGGGTAGCCTTGAACGCTTGTAACAATGAGAAACTTTTGACCAAAATGGTACAGTAGTTCCTCTCAACGTTATTAGATACCTTCAGTTGCCAAACTCCACCGCGGCCCCCGACCCCTTTCTGTCGCACCCGCGGAGAGGCGCACGCAGCGCTGTAGGCCTGAAGGCGAGCAGTACAAGCAACACTGACAGAGGCAACGCTACGTTGGGCAGAGGCACCCAAGCGCACGTGTTTCTTTTTTCGTTGTTGTTGCTCATGTTGTTTATCTAAGCGCCAGGATCATGTCGCGTGCCTTATGAGTAAATATGCCTCGGTATTTCGTGACTGGCTGCAGGAGTGTCTACGATTCAGTTGGATAATTGGGCTAGAAGAGACATTTTAGACATTTTTATAGGCCGCCAAAGAGTGCTTCGCGTTTTCGCAAATGGCAGCGCACAATTTCGAGGCTCGACAAAAAACGTGCCAGCTCTTGTGTCGTGTAAGATCTGCACTTCCAGCCAGAAGAGATCATTCAAGATTTCATCCACATTGTCAATGATGATGTGGTGCTAAAAGAAAACGATGTACCATGTCTTTTTTTGATTTGCCGAAAGTATTTATCGAATCTCTCGAACAAGCGCAAGCTTCCCCCTGCACAGCCAGCTCTTGATGTTAAGCGCCACAAGAAACGAAATGGAGGTGAAAATGAAAACGCAGTGCCCAGTGATTCTGACCATGGTGACCATGGCGAACGAGTGTGCTCCAAAGACGACGCAGTTGCCATCGAAAAGCCCTTCACTGCTCTTCGATGAGCTTTGCCCTCTTTCGCTCGCTTTAGCGAGAGAAAAAGTGCAAGGGTAGTTGGCAGAACTATATAGCGATACGGTTGTTCTACTCAAGCTTGTACAGGAAAATGCTATTTCTTACATTGGAAAAGCCGTGACAATATCAAATAAACTCAAGGGGAGACACGGCTCTTGAGACCCGAAAATTTCCTCAAACATCAAATTTTCGAAAGTGTCATTTTTGTATTCTTTCTACTATCGCATACCTGTCTGCAAATTTTAGTCGCAAAATACCGCGTATTAATGGCGTAACAGTAAATTAAAGATGCGTTGGCACGCCCCCAGCCCTTTAAATTGAGGACAAATCGTGCTTATTTCGGCTGCCTGTAACTCTTGAACGGTCCGCTTGAATGCGGCCATTTAGGTATCGTTGAAAAGTTCTCGCATTTGGCTTTTTTCCTCGCTCGGTCGGGCAACACTAAGCTTGCCACTTCTTGAAATAAAAAAGAAAGAAAAATGCGCGTAAAACGTTGCCATTGGCCACTTGAGATTACATGGCTGAAATGGCGCCGTCTGATTGGCTTAGGGTGTTGGCTTTGTAAACTTGGCTATTCGAAGCGCCATTTTTACTTTGGTTACGGTGACACGACGAACATGCCTGGAGGACCGAAAAAGCATCATTCGGTGTATCGGTTCAGCCGAAGGCGAGCCAAAATGAAAAAAAACGTGCTAACAGCACGACGTCACAGGTTGCCGCGACCGATCAGCAAGCGGCCGTTGTTGCTTCGGCGCCCGATAACGGCGATGGAGGTGATACCGATCCGCTCTTCAAAGGCACTACAACCGACGAGCAGGCGACTCGCAGTGTCGGGGCATCCGATATCGTCAGCGCAGGTGATAGCGGTTCGCAAGATGCGGGCATGTCATCGCGCAGTTCTACAAGCGATCAGCAAGCGACCCGCAGCGATGCAGCTGACAGCGATTCGTCCAAGAACGACGGCATTCTTCGCGCCGGCTCTAGCCGTGTGCGAGTTGACGCTAGAGCTGTCACGAGCAGCGAAATAGTGCAAGTAAATGCTCGTGAGATGGACATTATTCATAGACTTGAGTCAACACGGCAATAGCGCGAAAGACTGCAGTTTTCACCGGTGCAAGCGATGCGTCATCGGACTCCACCGCGGACCTTGCAGCTCCGTATGTGATGATTGACATGGAGGTCCTGAATGAGCTGCTCGCTGCTTCCCTACGCTGCAGAGTATGTGGCAGGTGAGCAAAATTAGTCACGGGTGACCGCGACTATGGCCTCGCTAAAAAATGATAGTGAAGTGCGACTGTTGTGGTGAAGTCACGACGGCATGGAACTCTCGCCATGTCAATGATGATAAGTCCTGCAATTTATTTGCGGTAAACATTTTATCCACGCGTGCGATTCTCTTCAGTGGGAATGACCAGACAGCCATGAACGATATTTTCGCGGCGATGGGACTGTCGCCGCGGGGGCTGCACAATAAGACGTTTCAACAGCACTTGAAACAAACCTTAGAACCGGCTGCAACTCGAGCTGCCGCGACCATTATGACTCGGTGCGCGAGTGAAGTAAAGGAGTTATACGAGGAGATGTGTTTTGGGCACAAAAAGAACATTGCCGTGTGCTATGACGGCACTTGGTTAACACGGGGGCAATCCTCTCACATTGGTGTTGAAACGGTTGTCGAACTGTTTACAGGATATGTGATTGACTACCATGTGATGTCCAACTTTTGTTTGGGTTGTGAGAACGGCCCTAAGCCAGGCAGTGAGGGCTATGATATCTGGAAGTCAAGCCACTAGTGCCAGAAGAATTCAAACTGCAAGTCCGGCCAAATGGAGGTAGAAGTTGGCAAAATTTTGTTTGAACGATCACTTCAGCGGCATGACCTTCGTTACACCACGGTGTTGTGCGATGGTGACAGCTGCACATACAACGCCATAAAAGAAGCGAAAATTTATGGCTAGATTGAAGTGCAGAAGGAGGATTGCGTAAACCACGTCGAGAAACGCATGGGTACTGCACTACGCAACCTAGTGCAACAATACAAGGGGGAAGGCAAACGAAGCCTTGGTGGCAAGGGGAGATTGACTGCCGAACTGATCGACCGGTTGGCTGTCTACTATGGGCGAGCGCTAAAATCGCACGTAGGTGATGTTGAAGCCATGAGCCGGGCAGTGATGGCAACGTTTCATCACGTCACCTCTACCGACAGTTGCCCGAACCACCAACTGTGTCCAACTGGTGAGCAATCTTGGTGCCGCCACAACGCAGCAAAGGCTAAAGGGGAGCCAGAGACCAAGCACAAATATAATTTGCCTAGTGATGGGGCTGCAGCTCTCTTGCCGGTTTACCTGCGATTGTCGGAGAGGAGGCTGCTGTAAAGATTCCTCAGGGGAAAGACCCAGAACTCAAATGAGTCTTTCCACTCAGTAATCTGGAGCCTACTATCAAAAGAGCAGCACTGGTTGTTGATTGCAGTACAGGCAGCTGTAGCAGAGGATGTGCTGCATTTTAATGCTGGTAATGAGCCCGCTGCTATGGCCGTGCTAGCAGAATTGAATGTGGACATAACACCTGCTGGGTCCAACAGGGCAAGAGAAAAGCACCTGCGGCGTAGCACAAGTTCTGCTAAAAAAAAGGGCAGCATCACTTGGCCTTACTAAGGCAGTGAATAAAAGGCACCATGACAAACTGCATCTCGATTACTTCCCTGGATCATTTTGAGATACTTTTTCTTTGAAGGGAGAGTGTGTAAATAAATTTTTTTTACCCGTTTCCCCAAAGTGGCATTTCTGATGATGTCATATTGGAACCACCATATCTCCGGTTCTACTCAACTAGTCTCAATAATTTCTTTTTTGACAGAAAAGTGGTGAATTGACAAGTGCAGTAGGACTAGTATACAGCTACATATCATTGAAGAACATTTATAAAAATAATCATTTTAGAAGATATTATTGGGTTTCAGAAGTGAAATTTGAGATGCCCTAATTTAATTCAAAATTGTTGTAAAATATTCATTCTTGTCTGATTGAACACGTGTACCATCCTTTATCACTGTAATGTTGAAGTAATTTCCATAATCATTTCTAATTTGTCTAAAAATGTTTTTTGTCGTTTTCTCAAAACTGCGTTTTTGATCATGTAGTTTTGGAGAGACGATATCTCTGGTAATACTTATCCTATCGCATTGATTCTTTTTTTTTTTTTAGAAAAGGGGACAAATGGGGACTGCAGTAGGCCTAAAATTTGAACAAATAACATGAAACATGTTTTCCAATAGTAATAATTGCTCCAAGGTGTTACTGAAGCCTTTTGCTTGCAAATGCTTGACATTCTGTAACTTTGGCTCAAATCACTCTAGAACATTTATTCTTGTACCACTTCAATCTCTGACAACACAGGATCATTTTTATATGCCAGTGTCTTTGATGACAACCAGCATTAAAGAGAAAATTTAACTCCCAATTAGCCAATTAAAAAAACACGAACTTCTCGATATTTTGAAAAGTACTTATTGCAGAGAAAAAGTAATTGAATATTTGAAATCAGCATGTCACAATACATAAAGCATGCAAGTTTGATCAAAATGTACTCATAAATAAAAAAGTTTTTTTTTAAGTGGGGTGCAAACGGTCTACCTGTACCATCAACCATCTATGCTACAAATGCGTCCGTCCAAGTGGCTCAACTTTGTGGCTTGGAATGTTGGCTCAGCTCCATTGACCAAATAAAACAGTGCCAAGGCATCCCTGCCAACCTGTATCCAGGAGTCGAGTCCTCAACCATTGCCACAAAAGGCGGTAAGAGGTGGTGACGGAAGACATGTACTGCCATGAGCTTAAACACCACCTGCCCAGGATATTAGCTTCGAAATAAGCTCCTCGCAAATCCAAAAAGGTTCTGCCTCCCTCTTCTTGGCTGTGCAGACCATATGTTCATATTCACGCACAATGTGTTGAATTTTTTCTTTGTCATGCGGATAAATTTTTATGCAAGGGGTACGAATTGTCGACTAAAAAACAGTCAGAAGGTAGCTATAGCAAACAAGAAGGTGCATTTTTTGTGACTATTGCCAAACGTGTTTTTCTATTTTTATGTAACCTGCCCGTTATACGCGTAAATAAAACAACATGCTCCGCACGAAAATCCTCAGTGTCCTACTCATTCACCCATCAAGTGTTTTTTACCGTGTGCACAAAGTAAAAATGCTCTACCTTGAATGCTTGGTGCTAAGGAGAGCAGCACAATGAAAGAGAATGAGATATAGAGAAGCAACATTCGGTCGGTGGTGCGCTACAGCCTTGTGAAACTTCCGTAGCGTACTGGGCCGATCGCGGAGGCAGCGTCACCTCAGGAAAAAAGACGGCAGAGGGCCACGTATTCATGCCACTCCCAGGGGTACCGTATTTACTTGAAAATAGGTCGGGCATGAATATAGGTCGACTTCTACTCCTAGTGTTCTACAAGAGAAAAAAAAATCGAATTTAGGTTGAGCAATGTTTTTTTTTAGTTAAGATACAGATAAATTGAAACGTAGCACAGCTCTATTTACATAACTCAGCGCCCTAATCATTGCCGGGGGCGTCATCTTGTCAGATGTGCAAGATGTGCAAGGATCGTCATCGGATTCTCCGCAAGCATCAGCGACTTCCCAAACAACGTTGTCCTTGCTGGCACCGGTGCTGATTGCTGGGCCACGAAAGGCACGACACCGACATTGGCACGTAAACAGACGGTCCCGCTGTGTTCACCAATCCCTATTCAATGTATATATACAGAACTCCTGCTGTATGGCAATATTGCTCGAGTCCTCGGTGAAAAGCCTCACTTGGCACTTGAAGTAACCTGTGTAGCTCCGCCGATGTCACATCGCAACCGGACACAACCAAATGGTGGTGGTGGTTAGAAGAAGGAGGCACCTAATTTCTGCAGCCCGGTAGGAAGCATGGCGCCGCACCTGAAGCAAATGCGAACCGTCACCCTGCCATGCGAATCATACAATGAACCAATCACGAGGTGGCGACGGCGAGTCCTCAGGCCAGTGGCAGTGCGGCTGCGTGCTGGAAGGCAGTGCCGGAAGCACGGCTAGCAGACTAGAGACTTCACGGCCAATACCTAGGGAAATCGTGGGTTTCATTGCAAACACGGCGGAGCAGCTGCATTTAGCGGGGGTGGTACGTGACTGTTGCATAAATAACTTTTTTCTCAATTACTTAGGTAGTCAGAAAGGAGGAAGGGGTTTTTTATCTCAGATTTTATGGTATATAACATGTGTATGCAGCAGGAAGCGCTTGAGAAACAGCGGGCGCAGCAGTTGAACGCCATAAGCTCAGCACTTTTGGTTGGTTTCATTGTGAATATAGGTCAAGATTCTTTAGTCATGAATATCAGTGTATAGCTAGTTATTAACAACATTTTCGGGAAAAATAAGTCGACCTATATTCGAATAAACACGGTAGTTTTACAACTGACAGGATCTAGTAACGTTGGTACCTCTTGTCCTTTAAATGCAGTCTTAACAGTATCATATTGAGCTATAGCAACAAAGAGAGCTTTACAGAGAGACGCGAGTTGAAAAACCAAGGTTTTTGCCCAAGATTACATATTTTTCATTTCAATTCGCATTCACAAGTTGACTTTCTCTACTTTCACAATAAAGAATCTGAAGACTGTAAAAAACCCGAAGTAGGTTAAAATTGCTCCTAAAAAACACAAGGTGCCTACACAAAACTAAAAAGAGCTCATTGTCTATAGAGTCCCCTGGAAATTGTCACCTGGCTACTTGCTATTGCATTTCGCATGAGGAGTTCACTCAAGCCACATGTTCAAACTAACAATGATTGCCAAGCTCTCATGATGGAAGAAATGATCTTAAAGAACACATCTTTGCCGCACAGATGAGCTTTCATTTATGTGCAGTTTTAAGATCCATTTTTAGGCAACTTCATAAGTTTAGACACCTTGTTAAGTTTAGACAACATGTTTTTTGGTACTTCACGTAGCCAGATCAGGATGAAGTTTTTCCCAGATATTCCTTAACATCTGAAGGGTGCAAGTATTTCCTTAAAAACTTGATATTGCCAGTATAATTAATACGAACCTAAAGCAAGCAATTAGTATGGGTGGAGGATTTTAAGAATTCTCAGATCACAATTTTTCTTGTCAATCAATGCCCTATACGCATTTTCTTCGTAGTTATTTGCATCCTAGAGTTAATGTGAAGCTATAGAAGCCATTGATAGCTCTGAGCCATTAGAGTTCAATGACATAAAAATTTCGTCCAAAAAGAATGATATTTTACACATTTTCATGGCACAAAACGAAAACTATGCAACTTAGTGTGAGACTAATTACATATTTGAAATCAGCATAAAAGTCAGTATATGCTTAGGTGAATGAAATATTTTATTACCCTAAGCTACAAATAAATTAAACGTTTTTTTCTAACCACATCTACCCTTAACAACATGGTACTATCATTTGCCGATTAGTTTCCCGACTGAAACCATTACAAATGCTAGAATAGATTGCACATTTGGGCAACTTTACAATTATTTTTAGTCCACAATTTTGCAGAAAATTACTACAAGCCAACACTAACCTCAATGCCAGTTTTTAACCCCCCTTTTTTTTTCATCTCATGTGACCATAAAGCACAAACTTGCACGCATGCTTAAGGCGTAATCACAACCCTCACATGTGTCTCCCTGTAAGTGTTGATGACCAACTAAGTGCGTGAAAATGGCAAGGTGGTCACGGGCACGCACCTGGGGCGGGGACCGGGGCTGTGGGGAAGTGAAGTTCATGGCAACGTGCTCCAGGATGGGCTGCAGCTCAGAGTCCTTGCCCTTGGCCAGGGGGTTCCTGCCCACCAGGCGCTTGACACTTCGGTAACGGTCATACAGCGGCCGCATAAGATTGCGATCAGCCCGACGAGAGGGCCGGCCGTGCACACTCTCAAATCGCAGCAGTGCCTTCTGCAATGCCAGCTTTTCTTCCAGCACTTGCTCACGTGTCATGTCCTGTAAGGGAGAAAAAAAAAGCAAATGTTGAGAAAGTCCTGCACACTATTAGCATAGTGCAGAGCCACAGAATCAATGCGAGAAAACCTTAAAACATTTATTATAATTGTAACACACTAGAGCTCTTAGTGTTAAAACTAGAGATGACTGAACTAGCGCAGTACCATCAATTCACAAATCTATACAAAGCAACAATGTCTCTAAACTTCATGCCATCTTAATATTTAAGCAAAGCTCCCCACCAATACAGCTACTTGAAAAGTCCTACCATCAAATGGGAAGAATTATTAGATGAGCAGTCAGTTAGCACTAGGTTTGAAAAATTAGAAGCCAGTATATAAGAAGTCGGAGGCAAAGCAAACCAGCTGCAAGTAGTAATACTAATCACGGAGAATACAGTTGACTCTCAATAAACGCAACCTGAAGGGACCAGTAAAATGTGTTCTGTTCAACAGGAATTCTATTTACTGAGAGATGAATAGGAGCACACAATGCAAGAACGAAACCGATCTTGTTACAAGCATTTGTTACACTTAAGCAGCAGTTCCTGTAAACAGATTTTCATTTACTGAGAGTCTACTGTAACTCTGAACTGCTCGTTTCTCTGTGCGCTTGTAACATTATTATATGCACATTTACTGCACTCTTACACATAAAGTGCTGTGGTGCAATTCAGCTAGGCAAGCCAAGGTTGATTACAGGGGCTTACATCCACACTGTCTGGACGCTGGGCAGCCCTGCGCTTTTCAGCCAGGGACATGAGGGTGTCATTCAGCGCCCTCTCCATCACTTGCGTCGGCTTGGCTGAGCCATCGTCCATATCACACAGCCCTCTGAGTGATTCCCGACCCCATGTTGAGAAGCTCAGGTAGGCAGGCTCCGGAAGGCTATTCTCCTCCTTTACATCTGCGTTAAAAAAAAAAAACGGACCAGTGGTGTCTTTCGAGAAGCCATAAGAAGAAAAAGGCTCATCACAATTCTAGAAGAACATGAGCAACATACAAATTATCAAGTCACAGAGCTCACAAATATATAAAAGGAACATGAAACATGCACTTCTTCAAATAAACATGTCTTTAAGGCTGATGATTAAAATAAAAAAATGCAGTACAACTTCCCTGACGTAATATACTGATGAGGAGATTTCACACAGGTCAGTGATGGATAATTTCCTCAAATAAAGCTTTTACATTCTATAGTGCCTATTCCTTTGTTAATTTTAATCGTAAGTGTTATACATATCAGACCGTCACTCGTAAATGCAAAGCATAAGCCCATTCATTCTTATAAACTTTGTACATTTCCTGTATACAGTCTGCCACTAATAGATTTCTTTCATTCACCCAAGGCTATGTACCTGTGCTCTAAAACATTTGTACCCTTTAGGAATATACTGATTTCTCTCTCAATAGGTGATCATCATCTGGCTTGTATCAGTTTTCTGTCTTGAATGCTCGTCACGGGTCAATGAATACTGCGTCAACATCGATAGCATGCAAATCACTTGTGACCCGATGGCGCTGTGTGCATGGCATTAAAGCAAGGAAAGGCACTCGAGACAAATGATGATTATTGTTGTGCAACAAAAGACTCCTTCCTTAAATAGTGCGAACTGCTTTATGGGTGTAGCATGCAAACAGTGACCAGAAACAAGCGTTACTCACTCTTCAAATCCTTTCGCAGCTTGTTCAGCTCTAGCAAGGTCCTCTTCATTTCTGCATGGTTCATCTTTTCTGCATGAGATGGCTGCAAAGTAACAAATAGGAATGATTAAATTGGGAAGGACTTCAACATAGCTGCCGATTTCCATAAAATTTTTCTTAATATGCCCAAATGTTAACGCTTGTTTGCGATTGTGCTAATGACACGTGCTAATGGTTCTGAGACATTCGTTTGCATGCAGCTTATGGCAGAATCCAGTAAAGAAAAGTACAAATCTGCATATTTATTGTCTTCTAAGTTCTCATTAAATTACTTAAATGCATACCGACAGCAGTGCCACCCACTTCACTCAATCAATGTATAGTTAACACTATTTTTTGCAGTGATTATGCGCATGCATTTCACAAATCTTATATTTATATTTTTTCGTGATGTAGACCATTCTAGTTGAGGATGCAAAACAGTATGCTTGCTTGTGGTGTTCCTGAGGAATCAACGCTGTTACCTGCTAAAGTACACTGTAAATTTTTATAAAAGAAAACACCCGAGCGCATGGCCTGCGCTCTGCGGTGGCTTCCTACAGCCCCATCAACCCACAGCCAAAGGAAGCACGTCGGCATTTGGCATCATCTATTGCCAAACAAAATAACGAGTCATGGCCATTGTATAACCTCTCCTAGATAACCCTGCTGCTCCATTTGATAATAGATGGGCCCGCCAAAAGCACACGCACTTTGTTTTGCTCTCGGTTGATGATGCAGTAGGAAGCCGCCACAGAGCACAGGCCATGCGCTCGCGTGTTCCCTTTCATAAAAAGTGACACAGCACATGGCCCATATCTTAAGTTTTATAGCATTTGTACATATTTCTAATCAAAAGTTAATGTTTTGGGGGCTCAGTAGCAGTACCTTTCAAGCAAAGATCTGCAATGAAAAAGCAAGCAGACAGTACGATGTTGCAATTTGCCTGATGAAAAGCTATTTCGTTATTCTGTTTTCCTTTCCCGTTTCCAAAAAATTAACTTTATTAGAAATGCTTGCAAATATTTCAATACATACCCTATATCCGTGTTCTTTCTCAAAATTTTCTTCAAACTGCTTTACTTTCTTCTTCAACCCTGAAAAACAAATTAAGAGTAAGTCATACACTATGCCTTCAATGGAATGAATGTATATATGTATGATGAGCCTGTTTGAGTTTAATATTGATTGATTGATATGTGGGGTTTAACGTCCCAAAACCACCATATGATTATGAGAGACGCCGTAGTGGAGGGCTCCGGAAATTTCGACCACCTAGGGTTCTTTAACGTACACCTAAATCTGAGCCCATGGGCCTCAGCATTTCCGCCTCCATCAAAAATGCAGCCGCCGCAGCCGGGCACGACATGCGGGTCAGCAGCCGAGTACCTCAGCCACTAGACCACAGCGGCGGGGCTTTGTTTAATATTGTACTTACCATGAACTCTCTTGGACAGTTGCTTCACAGTTGTTTGGCTGGCTTCTTCATCTTTAAAGTTCCTGCAATTGGAAGCCATTTTCTATAGTACTCACTGATTTGCAAAAAATGCATGAATAATGTGCGAACCGCCTAATGGCTACACGACCACAATCGCACAACACTCTGGCCGCCGAAATTATTATCTTCATTAAAGTAGTTTATTCCTCTATTATCTGAATAAAGTGCATCGTACAATTTGTGAGAGAGAGAAAAAGGTACAAAATTTCCCCCTGTACCAACTCCCGCCAAATATAAAGCGGCAATTCCCTTCATTAGGATCAATTGTTAGAAGATGACGGCCATTCGATTCCCTGAATTCAGAGCAGTGACACAGGAAAACTACAAAAGATAGGCAGCTTCCTCCCTATGAAAAACTCTACTAGATGATGGAATATACAAAAGCACACTTACGATTTCAGGAACTCATCTTGCTCAACAGGAGGAGATGGAGGCAGGTTTGGATCCAGGTGGAGGCTGCAAATTGACAAAAGCACAAACTTATAAGGCTTATTATTGCTGTGTGATACAATATGATATTTGAATACTGCTCAGCTGGACTTGCACAGATACTACAAATGCCCAACTTGAGGCTTGTGCGAATATTCAAGTGCTTGGAATATTAAAAGTTATTACAGTCTTTGTGCTCACTTCAATTGAAATTTAAAGTTACCAAAAATTTTGTAGTATTCGAAATGAGCGTATAAATGTATTTTGACCACATGTAACCTCCTGTGAAGTTTTTACTGCAGTAAAGAAGTGCTAAGCCATGAAAACACCTGTCTAGGAGAAATCCGCACTACTGAGAAGCCCTATTTCAAGAGCATATTGCCCTCCCATCAATTCATCAACTTTTAAGTTTAAAAGCTTGTTGTTATACAAGCATAAATGCTCTAAGTATAGTGAATTCTAAAACTTCCTATGGACCAAAAAGTGGCATTTGCAAAAGCATTGTTTCAATTAAAAAAAATATTGAGGAGGTGTGTTAGGTGAAGATAACTATGCATATTTTTCAGTATGATATGAAATTAATACCGTATTTACTCGCGTAATGATCGCACCCCTAAATTTTGTCATCTAAATTCGACTTTTTTTTTTCCACGTAATGATCGCACCCTGAACTTGCCGCATCGACATGTCATGTGCCAAGTCTAGCTGAACGCGCCTATCATTGTTTCTGTGATCTGAAAGCGGGCATCACTATGCTAATGTCGTAAATTTACTGATTTAAATGAAAGCATTCCTTATTTAGATGGAATAAACTGTTTTGACGCGCATGACGTACTCACAACCTCCATAACTGACGCAAAGAAGGAAAAAAATGCGGTGGCTTCGCTCCACGAAGTGCTTAGCTCCGTCAGCCGCCATGTTTGTTTTGACATCCTGCACTGTTACAACGACGGCCGCCTGTTGGTCAACCTGTGTTCATCCCGCACCAAGGTTTTTTTTTTCCCGAGACCACGTTTTTTTTTTGTGTGTGTGCTTTGTGATTGTCGGTTGAAGCACGGTTTCACCATGGAGCAGTATGCGAGCTTTACTGCCGCCTTCAAGCCGAAGGCGCTTGACTACGCGCTAAAAGACGGCAACCGCGCTGCCGGCAAACATTTCCGCGTCAACGAAATCCGGATCCAATATTGGAAAAAACATCACGACATGTTCATGGCTACTGACAGCACGCGATGGGCTTTCCGCGGACCCAAATCTGGCAAGTTCCCTGACATTGAAAAGGCAGTCCTCGAATACGTGAAGGACATGCGCAAAGATGGTTATGCAGTGTCATTAGACATGATACGGACGCAGGCGTGCACAGTTTCCCAGAGGCTGGAAATAGCCACAAAGGACTTCCGCGCCAGTTCCGGCTGGACGACACGCTTCATGCGACATTTCCATTGCGCTCTCGACAGAACAGAAGATGACCCTCTGTGGGACAGTAAAGACACTGCCGGTTTTAACAGGGAATCGTGCAGTGACGACACTGACGCCAGTGAGGCTTCGGAGTCTGAATGAACGTTAGGGGGTCAGAGAGGTAAAAAATAAAAGGGCAGTGTGCCATGCGTGTAGCTCCTGCGTAATGCGTGCATTTTATTACAAAGGTAAGCCCTAATTTACATTTATTTTTGGTTATGTTAATGATAGCTACCGTAAGAATTCTTATTAGTGACTTTTTTGCGTTTCTGGTGCTCAGAATATTTTTTCACAAAAAGCTTACCCCGCGTAATGATCGCATCCCGAAGTTGGAGTCAATTTTTGAAAAAAAAAAAAAAAAAAGTGCGATCATTATGCGAGTTGATACGGTATTATTCGATTTCAGTTCGAAATTATTTGACCAAATCACTACTTGCTTCAAATTTGCTTCGAACCTAAATTTTACTATTCGCACAAGCCTGCGCAATTTGGTTTCCCTATTTCCTACTACCTCTTCAAAGCATGCAAAAGCAATGTACAGTACTCACGGATTCGAACCTGACATCATATTTTTTAGTATAATAACCACAATGAGAAATGGCTCACAACAGCTTCATCCTGTTGCTGCAAATATGGCCCCTAAAGCTTATATCCATATTGATGTAGGTGTTCCAGTCAAATTTACACAAATGATAGATGCTGGAAACCAAAGTATGAGCAATGTTTAGCCCTAAATTTTGGCGCTTAAATCCATCAGTACTGTTGTAGCCAAAAGTATGAAACATTTTAACGATGTGCCCCATCAAAAAAACTGTTTAGTAGATGAAATCGCTTACTGAAATATGACAGCTGTATGAATTCAGCAAAATTGACGAATTCAGGCAAATTCGATTGATTTGTGGTGTTTAACGTCCCAAAACCACCATATGATTATGAGAGACGCCGTAGTGGAGGGCTCCGGAAATTTTGACCACCTGGGGTTCTTTAACGTGCACCCAAATCTGAGCACACGGGCCTCGACATTTCCGCCTCCATCGGAAATGCAGCCGCCGCAGCCGGGATTTGAACCCGCGACCTGCAAGTCAGCAGCCGAGTACCTTAGCCACTAGACCACCGCGGCGGGGCCAATTCAGGCAAATTCATCACGTAATGCAAACATGCCATCAAATGCAAGCGCAAAGATTTCTGCCATATAAGTTGAGTGGCACTAGTTTTTACGTACACAAGTATGTAGCCTCTACCAGCAGTAAAACATGTCAGTCACTGCCCTTCTCACATCATTAGAGCGCTAACATTTTGTAATCGATGCACCAAGTTTACAGAGCTACCAGAGAAAGAAACAGGATAGTGAATATGTTTATGTCATTTCATTTGACAAGAACAAGTAAACAGTGTTAAAGTACGAGTAATCCATCAGTGACATCTAATGATTGGGATCACTAACCTTCTATGAGACAGGTAGCTCCTGTAAGCACTGGGTGACAATGGAGCCTCGTAAGAACTGAAAGAACACACAACAATGCCACTTTTAGAATGCACCAGAACAATGAGAGAAATCACAAAATCAAAAAAAAAATTTTAAGGGGTGAAACAAAAGAGGGAAAGAAGGAAAAATTGGAGACTCACTTTGCTTTCTGGAGATATGGCATTACTGGCTCTTCATCAACGAGGGCCTGAACCATGGGCCAGCTAAACCGATGTTCGGACAGAACAGGTTCTACAACAGGAACAGGTGCATACAATGAGCACTTTGAAGTGAAAGAAGATAAGGCACACATAAAATAGGTTGCAAGCAATGCGAGATGTTAAATGTGAGAGCATACTGAGTATGTGGCAGAATGTCTACAGACTCTGTGTTCATATAGTAAATTTAAAGTTACCCTGCGCTTACAAGATACAATCACTTAATTATTCACTAAAAAATTGGGAAGAAACTGTTGTGCACTTTTTTAAGGGGGGACGCGCCCTTTGAAAACCGAAAAATCGCGAAAAAGTCGATTTTTTGAAAACCACATACTCGGGCAGTATGACTCATAAACTGCCTCTACTGTAAATATCAATGTCTAATTCATCGCGAAAGTACGTCAAATAAATTTTAGAACATGCCGCGGCAGCCGGCAAGCGGCGAGCGAGCGCCAAAAATACCCCAACTTCGCGCGCTCGCCATTTTCCACCCGCTCGGCCCACGGAGGAAGGCCGATCGCCGCCATCTTGATGTTGTTTTGCTCGTGAATTCTTGCGCTTTTTTTTTTTCGCCACCCGCGGCAGTGGCGGTGGCGCTCCGAGGCGGGAGTCGCTCACGATTGGGGGGCTCGCGGAAGCTTTCGAATGTCCCGCTGCCTGGATGCGAAGCCGCGATTGGACAAAGCGCGCGCCTCTCGAGGGAATGGGGGAGCGCGCGGCTCCTATTGGCTACTGCACGCGATGACGTAGCTGCTTCTCCGGCATGCGCCGGCTCGTCGTCTGCACCGGCGCTTTTTGTGTGCCCCGTTTGCCATCATTCCGATCGGTCGTCACACGTGCTCCTCTAACTTTCCCCGTCTTCACGAAACGATCTTCTACCGTCTTCACGAGACGATCTTCTACCGTCTTCACGAGACGATCACTACCGTCCTCACGAGACGATCACTACCGTCCTCACGAGACGATCTTCCGCCGTGTTCACGGGACGCGGATTGTTGCGCTGACGGTCACGATGGGCATTTCGAAGTTCAAGACTCGGCACGCGTTCGGTTTAAGAAAGCGTCAGCTGAAGCTCGTACGCATGGCGAAGCTCACCTGCACGCCCACGCGCGGCGACAGTTGCACCGATGCTTCCGCTTCATCTTTTCAAGACGATTGCATCGACGCTTCTAGCGACGAGACTTCTACACCATCGGCACAAGGATCCGTCGTGACGAGTGAGGCTGGTGTTTCGTGCTCAAGTGCGCCTGGTGTGTCGCGCTCGCCAACCGCATTGATTCCGGCCCCGAACAGTGAGACCGCGCGAGTGAGACCGCGTGAGACAGTGAGAAACGGATGAATGAGAAGCAGGAAAAGCGGCAAAGAAAAAGAGAGCCTAAGGACACATCTAGCTACTCTGCAGGGTCATTTTAGACCATAATAAATGTTTGAAACTTTCGAAGTCAATTTTCTCAGAATGACTTTTTTGGCCAGTGAGGCTGCTTAGTCAGGTGATCTCTCTGGAACTGCTGGTCTGATTTCTATCAGGTTTTTTTTATTATGCACCTTAATAAATTGCCCAGGGCAAGACAAGCCCGCTTTTTCAATTTATTGTGTCTGTAATTTGTAATAATTAACTAAAACTTCATTGATGAGAGCCAAATTGTGAACACTAAATTCAGTGCTCTGCTAACATTTTTTGGCAAGGAAATTTAAAAAAAGGGCTCTGTCTTGCCCTAAAGCACCTATCCAGGAATCGTCATAGTGAATTTCACAGTGCTAGCACATTTTTCAAATTCTCCAGACCCTGACTAAGGGACCCATGTGGACTACCCTGATAAATGGCTGTAACTTGGAAACCAGTGAACATAACTGCATGAAACTTTGTGGTTATTCAAATGGCTTTGCTATTAGTGTACCCTGAAAACTTCATTAAGATATCTCAACAAAAAAAAAGTTGCCCTTCGAAGGTAGCCTCCCATCTTAAACTGTGTATTGTCTACTTGAGTTGCATACCCAACACTACCCCTGTTTGAATGTTCTGTAGTAAAACCTTTGAGTCTGCAAGAGCATTTGCAATACATTTTACATACAGATGAATGCCTTTATAAGAGACACTGTTGTAAGAAAGAAATTAGTATAAGAGACACCAGTATGCCTTCATTGAAATAGAGGTGTTGATAAGAAAATGCATATGTGGTACATGCTTATAAGAGACACCTCATATAAAAGACAAGAATGGCTCCCTGGTGCATGTCTCTTAGAAAGGGGTTGAACTGTATAATCCAGCCTTTAGTTCAAGATTTTAAGTCCTTAGAGTAAGCTAGCACATTCCACATCCCTTCAGGTACATCCTAATTTTGCCATTAGAAATAATACTAGGTCTGTATTAACATTCTATTTGCCCTTTCTGTTGTACTTTTATTTATGATGAAAAAACCCTAATGTCTAGTAGCCTAATCTGCATGCATTTTTAAGTATGCTCCAACTTTAAGTGAAATAACACGTGTGTAGCCCCAGTTGAATGCAACTGCCCTGCATGCTTAACCATAACACTGGCAGTGAACTTTATGCCATAAAAATAATAAGAAACTTTAGAATTAAGGCCAATAAGCTTTTAGTAATCAAACTAATATAAAATGCTGACCTTCTTCACGGAAGCTGTTGAGGTCCAGCGGTGGGATGCTGTCTTTGCTCAGAGTGCTGGGGGTGTTCGGTACTGAGCCATCTGCTTCCTCTGGGCCTCCATTAGCCTCCCGCCCACCACATGGTGGATGATAGGGCTCATCAATGTCCGCCATGGGGCGGTCTGCAGAGCCCTCTTCAGCTGCCTCGGCTCGTGTGCTCTGGTATCGAACATCTTGCAAAAGCAGCTGCACGTACAGAAGACATTGCATTAGGGACCCCTAAGAGCACGACACAAAGAAAAAGCACAGTGACGCTGCCAAAAGCTTCTACACAGCCAATGTCACTAAGAGCTTGACACCTATGTACTTGAAACACATTTCAAGTACGTTGTTCATCTGGTACAACAGTACTTAATGACACAAAGAAAAAGTGCAGTGATGCTGCCAAAAGCTTCTACACAGCCAATTTCACTAAGAGCTTGACACCAATGTACTTGAAACACATTTCAAGTACATTATCTGGTACAACAGTACTTTTCTGTGAGTAGTCTATCGAGCGATCTAACGACGTACCATATAAACCGGACTATAGGTAGAGTGGGAATATAGGTCGACCCCCCAAGTTCAGGTTACCAAAAAAGAAAAAAAAGGAAAACAACCCAAAACTGCCGAACCACATTTATTTGCGAATTGGGCGCACCACATCAGGATCGTTGGAGCTCCCTTCTACCACCATGGCAACTGCTCCTATTCGTCCGACGAAGCACCACTGTCTTCTGAAGACGAGAGTTTGTCGCTGGCCGCCTCCCACAGTGCATCGTTTTCAGTGCCATCCAGCGAGTTGCTGATGCAACATTTCTTGAAAGAATTTTCCACCAAGGGATCTGGCAAGGAGCGCCAGGCGAAAAGCACCCAGCCACAAACAGTCGCAAGCGGAGGCCTCTGTAGGCGGCCCGTCGGTGTCTTGGGGTTGTCGCCGGACATCCACTCTTGGTATTCCAGCCGCACTCGGTCCTTGAACGGCTTGTTTAGTACAACGTCGAGCGGCTGGAGGGTGGACGTCATACCACCTGGTATCACGGCAAGGTCCGTTTTCCCGTCACCGAGTGCGTGTTTCACTGCATCGGTTAAGTGGCCACGAAACGCATCCAACACCAGCATGCTGCGAAGACGCAGCAGTCCACCTGGCCGACAGTTCCACACCACTCGTATCCATTCGTGCATCATGGCCTCGTCCATGTATCTCTTTTTGTTGACGTGAACTACAACACCGGGCGGGAACACTTCCTTCGGCATTGTCTTGCGTTTAAAAATGACGAAGGGCGGAAGCTTTCTACCATCTGCCGTGCATGCCAGCATGATGGTGAAGCGGGAGTGCTCGTTGCCAGTGGACAGCAGCTTCACATCCTTGGCGCCGTGCTGCGCGATCGTGGTCGACGAAGGCATGTGAAACCACACGGGGGTCTCATTGGCGTTGCCAATCTGCCCCATCATGTAGTCGTTCTGCTCCCGAAGCCGGTTTACGAAGCGCTGAAAGTTTATGAGCTTGTCCTCGAACTCCTCCGGCAACTTTTGACAGATGGATGTGCGCCGCCGGAGAGAAAATCCTTTGCGTCCCATAAATCGACGCACCCAAGAGTTCGGTGCACGAAACTCTTCTCTCGTGAGCCAAGCTTCCCGAGTGAGTTCCACAGCTTTCTTGCAAATGGTATCCACGGTCACTGGCAGCATGCGCCCACGAACTTCCCGCACAAAGTCCGCTAGCTTATCCTCCAGCTGCGGATGAATGGCATTTCGTCCACGAAACGACATTTTTCGAGGATTGAACATCTGCAGCTTCCTTTTCTGCACCCTCCAATAGCGCACGCTTTTTTCCTATACACCAAAGTGGCTCTGAGCAGCCATATTCCCGTTCGCTTCTGCGAACTCAACAACATCTAGTTTAAACGCAGCTGAGTACTGCCTCCTCGCCCCGCTAGACATATTCAGTGAACGAAAAAAAAAAAAAAGGCCACTAAAAATGCAGCGCAATCTCAAGCGGAGCGAAAACTCAGAACAGATCAGAAGCAAATCACGAACACAAAGAAAACAGGCTGCGATTGGATTTGGATGCAGATATGGCCGCGTCTGGCTTGACAAGCGCATGCAAGCCATATGTTGCCAGACAGCGTCGCACTTTCGGCTAGACACCGCTATATAAGACGAGGGGCGACATTAGCTTATTATTTTATTGAAAATATCTCGACTTATATTCCAGTTTATACGGTACCTGCCTATCACTGCCACGTTGAATGCCTTACAATACATAAAATATAACCAGTATTTTCATGAAAGAAGAGCCAGGCAAAACTTATGGACAAGCATTTTCATTTTTTGTTAGTGAATTTCCCGACACACCACCATCACAGTATGCGAAACGAAGATTGTAAAAGGAGGAAAGCTTAATGCATTCTTAACAACCAGACCTCCACAACCCGTAGTGGCATGATGGCAGATGTACATGCTCAGCAACATTTTACATTAACATCCATTCTTAGTGACCTGGTTCTAATAAATGTGAGAATAAATGACAGACAATAAACCATTTACAATAAAATATTTTTAACATGTCACTGTTTTAAAAACAACTACAAGCAAGCGAGTGTAAACATGCAAAATTGCAATCACACATTCAAACAAAGACTTACTTTGCACAACAAGAACAATGTAAGTGTGGCACACAGCACGATATTCCCAGAAAGCAGAACACCCTTGTCACTGACCGGTTTAGGTCGTTCTGCATTCCGGCAGGCCTCGTGCCACTCTTGTGAGCTCTCTGGGCAAGGGCTGGATGGCGTCTCGATTTCACGCCTCTTGGGTTGCGGTGGGTGTGGACTCAAGTCGCGATTTGAGTCATCCCCAGACACCCCAGCTTGACCATTGTTCCCAGATGCCATCTGCAGTCAGGTAATTGTGATTAGTCATTATGACGACAAACAAATCATCGCATTATGAGAAGTAGTGGGAAACGACCAAAACTGCAGTATGTTTGCAAATTACAATGCAGCAGGCAATGTTTGTTGGCAATATAACATGTGTAAAAAAAAATGCGCATAAATAATACTTCCAGTCTAATATTAAAACCATAAATTGAAAGCAGTCACATTAAGCATGACTCTCCTTCATCCAAGAGGTGCAATAACGTGAAACAAGTTTCTTTTTAAACATGTAGCTGTTGGTCATATACTGTAACAGTACAATTGTGTATCAGTCTACAGAGGTCTCACACAAACACATTTCAAGTATGCAACACCAGTCAAGATCCAATTAATAAAGACTTGTTTATACCAGCTCAAAACAAATCCAGGCTAAGAGCAAACACCAAATGTTTAGGAAGGAAGACCCATTAAGCTAGCACATTTAATCTGCCCAAGAAATCTCCAGAATCTTCCACAAGAAAAGCAACAAGATTCTTGAAGTGTGCTAGGATTAAGTATGATGTGCAATTGTACATTCCCATTAGCTCCGCATGCTCTGGTAGTTCAGTGCCAGTAGATTTTAGGTGAAGCACCATTTTTTTATTCCTTCAAGCTCAAGCTCACATTTCCTCATGTGGTCAATGAGCCTACAGAGTTGAAGAACATGCATAATACAGTAAAACCTCACTAATTTGAACTCAGTTATTTTGAAACTCCACTTAATTCGAAGGATTTCTGCAGCCCCGTAGTTCTCAATATAAGTTTGAGCAGATAATTTGAAACAGCGGTCAACACCAGTCCGGTTAATTCGAAAACTTGGTGTGCCATGTGCCCATTTCAGATCCCGATTTCACCACTATGCCCCAGAAACGGCAGCCCTTAGGAACCACAAGGCAGTGCAGTGTAGAGATACTAATGAGTGACAGATGAAGCACCCCAGCCACGCTTCTGCCAGCGGCAAAAAAAAGGGGGGGAGGGCGGTCTTGTGAATAATTAGAGTGTACACTTGCAGAAAACAAAACGCTTCACTGCACTACAGCGGTGACACGCACGCAGCGCGTCGCATGCTTTTCGCAACGTCAACTCATCATGATTCATCCATTCTTTCTAAGAATATAACACAGTTACCATAGGTCAACCTGATGCAATTCACGAACCTGATGCAATTCACGATGTATGCAAACTTCCCATTGGCAGTTGTTTTAGCAATTCGCGCACTTGCACTGCTGGTGGAGTGCCTGTCTGTAACGCCTACTTCGAAAACTCAGATAGAAAATTTCAGTCATCATGTTTTTCAACTAAAACACATATCAAATTTGTCACACTGGCCAATATTAAGTGCTTTATTTTACAAGAAAGCATGAACAAAGGTCGCACCATGATGCGCTGACGCTGCGAGAAGCAAGTGCCATACTGCCCGCGTGTCACCACTGTGTTGCAGTGAAGCATGTCTTTTCCGCAAAAGCACATTTTAGCTGATCATGAGACTCTCTCCCCACCCACCCCCGCTGGTAGCAGTGATGCCCGCCGTTCACCCGGCGAAATTGGGCCCTGGCATTGAAGGAGAACGTAATCCTTGGAGCTGTGAACTAGCAAGCACAGCAAAAGATTACCTTGATTACTTTCAATAATTCAAAGTTTCTTGCATACCACTATTTATGTTTAATTAATTCGAAAACCCACCTAATTCGAAGATTTTTCACAGTCCTAGTGACTTCTTATTAACAAAGTTTTACTGTATACTGCGACTACACCTTTGTCAGCTTATTTGCATATCACTGTACAAGGGAGAGTTGAAAAGAAAAAGCTGCGGGTCAGGCAGCCTGACGCACTCTCATTCCTCGTACGTTTGGTCAGTTACACACATGGCCATCGCACTCACAGGAGAGTATCCGTGCACCGCTTCCAGTGTTGTTACTTCCTCATGGCTGCTGCATCGACGAGATGCCAATTCTGGCTCGACACGGAGGCCAGTGGCTGGCCTCTCCTCAGAGCTCGATCGTGGGGCTGGAGTGTCTTCGCCAGAGATCCTGCGCTCCTTGCGCTTACAGCTGCGACCTGGTATGGCAGCTCCACTTGAGCTTCCTGGGAATGGACAAACAGCGGGGGAATTCAGAAACACACAGGGAGACCGGGGCTGCAGTTGAAAAAAGTTAGGACATGCCACCAAGTGGTCACAAGGTTATTTTACACTCAAACCTCATTGTGGCAAATTCATTTCTACCATGAAAATACTTAAAGTTTATCCAAAAATTCATTATAAACAGTTATTTGTAACTGTATATATAGCAAAGCTATTGGTCACTTACTTTGTTATAACTAATAGCTAGTTATATTCGAATTCGGTACAGTACAATCTTGTTAATTTGACCTCTGTTAATTCGGAATTCAGGTTAATTTGGCCACGGCATCTGGTCCCGTCCAACATGAACCTTGTTCTATGACTGAAAACTCTCAATAATTCAGACAAATTCGGCCGCGCTTTGGTTGATTCCAACGCCTGACCGCGGTTGAGTCACAACAGGGAAGCAGCAGCGGATTCTGTCGGCGAAATCGCGGGGCCCCTAAACAACTTTGGGATCTGATTGCGGCCTCTGAGATTCAAAACTTTGTCCATGGGTTGTACATCTCGGAGGCTCCAAAAAAAAAAAAAAAAACACACCACACACACATGGTGGTCTAAACAACCAAAATGGAAGGCAGTGCATCGCTACTGTTATCAGCAACGGGCAACCTACAGATTTGCCTTTCCTTTTTTCTTACATGTCGAACACGTTTGCGGGATGGATGAGGTGGATTGCTCACCTCTAGTGTGCTTTAAATTATTTATCTGTACGTGATCAATGCCATCTGCGGTCTTACTGTTTGCTGTTTTTTCAAAAGTTTGCCGGTTTTTATTTCGTTTTTATCACTGTGCATTTTTTGTGGGTGTATGTGTGTGTGTGTTTGTGTTGTCTACTTCGTGCGCGCGGGCACGTGACCACAATGCGAGCGATGCCGGGATGGCTTCTTCTCCGTCTCCTGCGGCCCCAATCGCCCCAACTCCCGCAGCAAAGAGGGCGAAGTACGAAGCAAAGGATTTGGCTGCGAATGTGAAAATAATGAAGGCATTGCAAGTGGGAGCATCTCGAAAAGAAGTGGTGGAAAAGTTCAATGTGAAGATAAGCACGCTGAGCCATTACGTAAAGAACGAAGAGCAGATTATGCAAGCGTATGAGGGGGCATGTTTGGCGACCAAAGAAACAGGCTTCGGGCAGTGCATCCCAAGCTAGAAGAAGCCCTGTTGCGCTGGATTGCCGTTTCGCACGATGCGCGTTTGCCCTTGAGCGGCCCCTTTATCTGCGCATGAGCAAAGAAGTTCACAGTGACTATGAAAATTGATTCCTTCAGTGCGTCGGAAGGCTGGTTCAACCGCTTCAAGAAGCAACACGGGCTGGTGTTCCGCAACGTGTGTGGTGAAAGAGATGCGGTTGACGAAAGGGTTGTGCAGGACTGGCGGTCTGGACTATCTGCACGCCTTTCTACATAGGAGCCATGCAACATTTTCAACGCTGATAAGACAGCACTGTTCTATAAGGCTCTGCCTGACAAAACAATCGAGTTTAAGGCGGACCCGTGCGTCGGTGGAAAACGAAGTAAAGAGCGCGTGACAGTTCTTCTGGCTGCTAACATGACCGGCACAGAGCGGCTGCCGCTGCTCGCTGCTGGTGATCGGGAAGACTGCGAAGCCAAGATGTTTTAAGAATATTAAGCAGCTGCCTGTCGACTACCAGTTCAACAGAAAGGCTTGAATGACTGCCAAATTCTTTCACACCTGGCGTCAGCTCAATTGCCGCTTCGCGGCCAAGGCTCGAAAGGTGTTGTTCGTGCTAGACAACTGTAGTGCACACACGAAGGTTTCCAAGCTCGAGAAGATTGAACTGCTATTCCTGCCTCCAAACATAACCGCTTCCCTGCAGCCGATGGACCAGGAAATCGTACAGTTCGTGAAAAGCCGCAATCGATGGCAGGTACTCGAGCGGATGTTGCTCTTCATGGAGTCAGACAAGCAGTACGAAATAAGCCTGCTAAGTGCAATTCACATGCTGACATAGGTGTGGAACAACACATCGCATGCAGTAGTCGCAAACTGCTTTAAGCATAGCGGCTTCGTGCACGACACTGCTGATCTGGTTGTGATGGCCGATGAGGAAACCGGCGAAGAGCAGGACGGCCGCTATGTGAGCATCATACCAGCTGATGTGCTCCTTGAAGATTACTTCGCAATTGACAGCGATGTTGCCGTGGCCGGCGCAGTGACCGACAACAATATCGTCGCTGAAGTCTTAGATGGTGAAGAGGAATCGGCTGATGAGGACGTCAGTGATGCTGACGAGCATCCACGCAACACAATAACGGAGGCTGCGCATGCGTTGGCCATTTTGTAGGACATATGCATGCTTTTCTCTGACAGTGTGTGCGGACTAAGCCACCTGCAGAAACTTTGCAAAATTGTGACTTCGTCCCACATTGCGTCCGTGAAGCAAACCGCGATCACAGACTTTTTTAAGAAATAAAAGTCTGATGGTGTAGGAGACATTTATCAAGTATTTTGTTCATACTCACGATAATTCGTATCCTCGGTTAATTCCGACATTTTCTGCGGTCCCGTGTAGTCCAAATCAATGCGGTTTTACTGTATATAGATATTGAATGTATTTTGCTGCCATACTCCCTATAAATGAATGCTTAAAGACAGTCATCGAGGTGGCCCAAGCTTACTTATTTGCAAGATAACATTGTTACAAAGTAGCAGGAAAGCAGCAGTTGAATAGCAACCACTGAAATTTCTACTTTCGCTAACAAGTCACTTGCACTAATGCTGCATTTATTGTAGCCGATTCAAGTTCAATCTGCTTCCTAAACTAAGCCATGCACAAAGCTCAACACACCACCTACCTTCTTTGGCTGCCCTGTACATGATGGCCTGGTTGCAGCGGTCATCAATCAAACTGAAGGAAAGCAACAAGTATTAATGGTTACACAGTTAGTGACAATATAGCTACAATGCATGTAAACATGTATTCACAAGACCGTCTATGGCAACAGGAGATTCAAAGGCGACTTCATAGAAGCCAGTTTTTTTTTTATTCAAGTTTAGAGTGTTGCTTACAGCTTGCATTTCCCTATAACTTGATAGAAATTGAATTTTCCAGGTAGAAATGGCTTTCTTAAATGATACTAGGTTTTACTAGCAGGAAATAAACGAACTAAAATTCAAACTTACCAGTTCCTACCACACATATGTCTACGCGAGATAACCTCCCCCCATTTTTCGCTCATAACTAAAAAAGCAGAAAGCAAAAAATTTAAAAAACACTTCATATAAAAAATAAATAAAGAAGGTTACTTTCAAAGGAAAGTGAACAGAAAAGTTTGTGAAGTTAGGCAGATCTGGCACTAACTATTTCACAACCAAGAAAAGAAACCAAAATAAATCACACAAAATGTGGCAACATACGTAAATGTGCTCGTGACAGGTTGTCAAGAAGTCCCCAAATCTTTGATTTCCCTCTGAATACAGACATAAGTTAATGTACATTGCAAGTCTACAATGAAAGCATTCACCAAGAAATCAAGAAACCTATACCATCAATTAACTCTGAATAATCAGGCAGCAGACCGAAAACAAAAAGAACATTCTTTTGAATTCTCGAACCTCCTCGTTTCTTTCCTTCGTTTTATATTTTCCAGGAAAGTTTTCATATTGATGGAACTAGCACTTTTGATATTAGACATTTGAACAAACAAGGTTACCATCACTAACATGATCACAGACTGGTACACGACACCTACCTGTCAATCATGAGTGTCGGCACTGCACTAAGCGTATCCTGTTTCAGCGCCAACATGGCTTCATCCAATGGAGGAATAACAACAGTAAGAGGCTGCATCTGTGAACATGAAATGAAACCACATAGGTTTATGTTGGTGGTATAAAAATTTTTTCCAAAGCGTGCAATTTGTTAAAGCCACACCCCCCATATTTACATCTGAAAATTGCTGCAGTTCTTTGTACCTCTTTTTAAACGAGCTTTTGGAATATTGGTAGCTATGTTAGAAATACACGACCCCAATCTGCTACCACCACATTAGGATGTTCGAATCACTGCGCAATGTCATCAACTTTGACAGCCTGTATTCTAGCCAAGAACGTACGTGCACAGTTCTGTGGGATTCTTGCGACATGTGAGGGCAAAATACTCATACTTGGCCAAGATTATAATGGCATTTTGTCCTAAAATAAGATTCTTTTTGTTGGCAGGAGGTGCCTAAATCTTCAAGGCGAGAAAGGGGTGGGAAAACTTCTGAAGTACGAAGGGAAAGCAAGCATGTCACACAGCTTGTGCTGACAAATTTAAAAAACATATTTGCAGTCTGAACTGTTGATGTGAAGCAAGCTGCAATTTAGTTATTTGTAGGGGCGTGCGAATATGAAATTTTTCAAATACGAATCGAATACGAATATTCATGTTCGAATATCGAATCGAATATCGAATATCAAAGGACAAATGCCTCTACAGTAACAATAATTTAAGATGTATTTATCTAAAAAAATACACAACAGCCTGTCTGTTAACACAACATACACTGTTATTTGGAACACAATGCAAGTAATGACTAGCTATTATCATGAAACATAATGACTACATACCGTATTTACTCGATTCTACCGCGCCCTCGATTGTAACGCGCACCCGATTTTCACCGCGAAAAAAAAAAAAAACATAAGACATCGATTGCAACGCGCACCCATTTTTCTCGCTGGCCCGCACGATCACACCACTCGAAAAAACGACTCCTTTCGGGAGCGTCTTCCATTTAAATATAAGGTACGGGCGAAGCTTGTGCCCATCTGACGTGTAACAGAGCATTGCCGTCACTGTAGTTTTACCGTGGACTGATGTCAGCACGCGAACTTGCTTCGCCCCCTTCTTCTTGACAGTTGTGGTGCCAGGCATGTCGAAGTAAAGAGGCGTCTGATCGGCATTCCCGATATTCCCAAGCAGGTAGCCGTTGTTGTGCCGCAAGTTTAGGACGAACCTCTGAAAACTGTGAAGCTTTTCATCGTACTCCTCCGCAAAACTTTTCGCATATGCCCAGTCGGCTTCTAAGGGAAAAGCTTTTCCTCTTCATAAAGTTAGTTAGCCAGCACCTGCTCGCTTTAAACTGGCTCCGCATCAGCCCTTTTTCTATTCTAAGACTACCTGCATAGCCCGCACTTGGAGCAGTTCTGTCGTCACGGGCCGCTGTGCCGCTCGCTGCTCAAGCACATACTCGCCGAGCAGCTCTTTAATATGCGGAAACCGACCCTGCTGTGGTCCACTGAAGCCTTTGAGTGAAGCTTTGCTGTCGACAATCTTCTGCTTTTGTTTCCGCCGGTCCCGCACGCACGTTTCGGGAACTTTGAACGACCGCGATGCGGCCCGATTTCCGTCCGTCTCTGCACACGCGATGACTTTTCTTTTAAAAGCGGCATCGTGGTGCACTCGAGTTTTTGGAGTCGGCCCTTCCACGCCGTCGATGCTAATGCACTACTAGATGACGAACTCCTCAGCACACGTACGAAGTGCCGCACATGGGAAACACATAGGCAGAAATGGCGGACGCGCCATGCCGACGCACGTAGGGGGCGGCCATTTTGGACTTGCCGATGGCAATAGATTGACCGTAATTTTTTTGTTCGTACTCGATTCTAACGCGCATGCAATTTATGAACTCGCTTAACCGGAAAAAAGGTGCGCGTTAGATTCGAGTAATTACGGTATTATCATGGAGGAATATGAGTTGCTCCACATGATCAGGCAGGAGGTGCTCCCTCCGAACAGAGACAACCTCCCCTGCCACTGAAAAGGCACGCTCGCTTGCAACTGAAGTGGCTGGTATGGGCAAGTACTTGGGGCAAAGCTTTGCCAGACTGGGATATCTGAAGGTGCCCACAGCCCGCCCCCAGTCACATGGGTCACTGTCTTTCTTCAGTAGGGCTTCTTCAGAATACGCTTTAATTTCCCATTCTGAAGTAGACAGTGGTGTACTTGCTACTTGACTATTTGCAAGATTATCAAATGCACTCCAAACATCAGAGGATGGCTGCACACACTGTTGTGGCTCCTGCACTTTTGCTGCTGGCTGCACGGCTTCCACAGCAGGGCATAGGGCAACATCCTGAAGCACCAAATCTTTCAGCCACACCAACTTTTGTTTGTTGTTTCTGAATACCGTTGACTTGAAGCGTGGGTCCAAAAACATCGCCAAGCATGCTTCTTTGTCCTCGGTATATACGGGGAATCTGGTATTGAGAGAACTTGCCAGTTCCTTATGAAAGCCTGTTGTGCCGCTAAAGTTGCTGAGACAACTTAGCATACCAAAAATAATTGGTATCTGAGTGGAAAGTGATGGGTATTTGTCTGCACTAGTTATCACAGTTGCATCATATAAGGGCTTCAGTGCATCCAGATATTCAAGAGCCTCTTTCCATTCTGCTGAGCAGAGACCATGAATGCTGCTACTTGACGTTGCTAGCTCAACAGAGATAGCCTCCTTCAAGTCCAAAAGGCGGGACAGCATTAGGTATTGGCTGTTCCACCTCGTATCTACATCTTGCACCAGACGAAGTGGATCCTTGCCCATCTTCTTCTGGTACTCATCTAATCTCTTTTGCGCAGACGAGCTGTGCTTATAGTGGCCCACGATGTGCCTCGCTTTCTTGCACAGACGGTCAATTGACAGTGTGTTGGAGATTGCATCGTGAATTGCTAGCTGCAGGGTGTGGGCGAAACACGCACGCTCAGTCCACGGGAGCCTTCTGACCGCGGCACGGATGTTGCATCCGTTATCTGTGACGATGTATTTGCGGCAGCCATCCGGTATTTCCCATTCCGCGCACATCTCGACAAGCATTTGCGCAATGTTTTTGGCGGAATGGCTAACAAGTTCCATGTGGCGAGTGTTAAGCGTGAACCGCTTCATCCTAAAACTTGGAGTGAGAAGGTGGCAAGTGAAGCTCACATAACTTTCGTTGGCGCGTGATGTCCACATGTCGCTGGTAAAGGTGACTGCAGATGTTCCCCCTTCAAAAGCACTGCTGAGCTCGTCCTTCACTTTCTTCCGTGTGTCATCAAACAAGCGCAGAACAAGGGTACGTGAAAGCGTGGTGCGCGACGGTAGGCGATAGTTAGGCACAGCCTCTGCCACGAGTTCCTTAAATCCGCGGTCTTCAACAAAACTATATGGTTGCAAATCAAGCGCTACCATGGCAGCCACCTTGGCATTGAGTGCGTGAGTTTTCTTTTCTGACAAAGGGTCAGTACAGTGCACAAAATCAAATATCATTGACTGGTCTTTCTCTGGCGCACCTGCTGCAGTCATCCGGTACTCCTTCATCGCGGTTGGGTGCTGGTTTAGATGGTTAACAAAAGGACTAGTCGTACGCGTCGGCATTTTAGGTGTTGCGCCGCATGTCTTGCACTGCGCCAACGACGACGATGTCTTCACAAAGTGCTTCCAGAAAGCGCTTCTTTCCCTTCGTTTTGGCGCCGTGTCTTGATTATTCCTCCGTTTCGCAGGCGGGTCGTCATAACCTCCGCTATCTTCCATGGCACTTATTAACGACGCGAGTCCATCACAGGTTACAAAGGCTCACGTCAAAACCGCACCATGTGCACCGCACACATGCTAGCAGAACTGATCGTAGCGGCTGACAGCACTAGCCAACGCCGCTGACCCTACTAACGTAGCACTGTGCACTACATGGCGCACTACCACTACTCATGCGCTCTGGTGGCCAGCACAAAAAATATTTATATGCATATACAGATATATAAAACTGAAAGGTCGGCGCATGATTACCGTTTCATATATTCAATATGTTTAGAATGCAGTCCAAGTTATTTAACGCATACTTGTTGGGAATACGACATAACTTAGCAATAAAATCCCGAGTTGGAACTAATCGCTTTCGAGCATGTTGTATAACTGTGCGACTGCTCACGTGCGGAACTTCCTCGAAAAAGGAAATAAATGCGACGTCATGGTACAAATTGCCACTAGAACTCTTTTTGTCACTTATTATGTTTCCTAACCGAAGCGTTTGCCGACGGTGACGAAGTTTCTGCTTTAGCACGCGCGTGCAAGGTCGTGCATTATCAAGAGATGTTTTGATGAGACAACGCGGCAACGGTTAAGCTTCGTTCCTGCACACGAGGTCCCGCATAGTGAACGTGTGGTAATGCAGCACGTTACGGCGGCATACGAAAAGTGTGCAATACGTTTACACGAACGTCAACTTTGCTGCTGATTGTTGACCGTCGCTGGCTGACATAGTGCCTCCATGCACTTCTGACGCTTATCGCCCCTCTGGGCAACGTTTTAATATCTCTGAACCCAGCGGAAATATTAAAGAAGAGTTATTTACCGCATGATAATCCAATCAAATATGCCATATTGTCGAATATTCGAAGTGATTCGAATATTCGAACTTTTCAAATACACTTTTTTCGAACTGAATACGACTAGTGCGAATTTAATATTCGACGAATATTCGAAACTTTCGAATATTCGCACACCCCTAGTTATTTTTTAGCTAGGCCCGACCTTTCCTACACAAAATTATGTCCGTGCACCCAGTACACTTGGAAAACACGAGTTCCAACAAGAAACAAAACTGAGCTTTCTTGTGGCCTGGTAATGTCAGCATGCATGAGAACCTGCATGCACCCTCAGGGTTACAGTCCAGCACGTGCCCACTGTACAGACGGCTGCACATTTCATTGCAGTTCATTGCAGCATGTGTAAGAACTCTTACACATGCTGCAACGAATTCCAAGTTTTCTCACATCATTGATGCACTATAAAACATTCACAGGCTCATAATAGACTCACCATCCTTCCGCTGCATTTGCTACTGGTGCTGGCACTTTGAATATTCATGGTAGCATCGGCTGTACACGAGAGCTCCGCATCACTTTCGAAGATCGAATTATAGTGGTCAATGAAGTACGTCACCACCTGGTTGGTGACAGCCTGCTCCTTCAAGCCCTGCAGATCTTCACTGAACCTAGTCAGCAAAAGGAAACATGCAAAATACAATGATATTTTGCTGCTTCAAGCATCAAAATAGAAGCATGGCAGGTAGCACTGCTTTTGGCCTCCTTGCTCAAGAAAACGTTGATAAAAAAAATGAAGAGACTGACTTGGAAAGACAGAACTGTATATGAGATTGTGTCAACAATATGTTGCAAAACAAGCACCCACCTGAAGAGGTTTGGTCCAAAGACAATGCCGAGGGCACTCGGGTTCATGCGTGTGTGCTCCTCCAGCTCAGCCACCCGGCTCAGGAAATGGCACAGGTACTTGAGCACTGCAAAGTTGCTGGGTGGCAGCTGCTCCACGAGGCATTTGAGGCGCCGTGTGCACTCTTCTCGGTCATGCACAGTGACTGCAAAGGGGCCATTTGATCCGGTGAGCGCAACTGCAGCAAAAGTATTCATCAGCAGACTGCTGGCAAATGACAGCCTTATCAGGTGAGAAAGAAAAAAGAATGAGGCAGACAGGCAGAATACAATATCTTGCTTATCAGACTTTAAGTATGTAAAGGCACTTTATTGAGGCATACTCTACTAGTAAGCACAAGCACAAGTTTGATTCTTTCTGTAGTGGTAGCATTACAATGCAAGAACACAGGATTGCCTCTGTACCGAGTTTCTAGTGTACATTACAAGCCCTTAGGTGGTCAGCAATAACCTTGAGCCTCGCTGTATAACACCTCGCGAAGCATAGGCGTAGCTGCAATCTAATCCAATCAACTTCCTCTAAAGCCGTTTTTTTCAGCTGTGAAAACTAATTACTGTGCAATTACATGCAGCAGTCTACAACTGTTTAGTTATTCAAAAAATAAATTACAGCGACGAAGTAATAAGCTACACCACTTTCTGCAAGTGCCCTCGGAGTTTTACTGCATCTACCAACTCAAAAAAAAAAGAAACATAAAAACCAAAAACTACTCTTCACTGCCTCAGAGCAGACAGAACTTGCTTTCCCACCAAAACACGCATATACTCACCCTGGATGGCGTCCAGGAATGCTTGATGCATGTCTGTGGGCATCAAAGGCTCGGGCAGCTCACGGAAAAGTAGCTTAAGCAGGGCAGCAGCTACTGTCACATCCCCTTCAGCCTCTAGAGGTGCGTCGCCTGACTGGTCAAAGCTCCAACGTAGCTTCTCGACCAAACGGGCATTGGCGCTCACTCGAAATAGGCCCTCTTGCCCCATGCCTGCAAAAAAATCCCGTCTGGAGTCACTTACCACTGTTGCCAAACACACCAGGCTTCGCAAGGCTGCGGAGTGACAAACAGTGTGGTCCAGGATATTGTCGTGCACAATTATCTAGTAAAATCTTGTTAAACTCTTCCTTACTGAGTCAGTTGGCCAAGAATGATACAATGCGAATTCAAGCATGCATTTTGATAACCAAATGCATGCTTTGAGCGTGTTTTAAATTTTTTACTGCACCATCTGTTCAACAGAAGAATTCAGTAAATTGAATCAGATTAGCTTTATTGAGTGGACGAGTCCAGCTTGTTTTCGGTAGGAATGGCACAAAGCATGGGGACAAGCTCAGCTCGTCTTCGGCGGGGAAAAGATTAAACGGAACCTGAAGTAAACAGGAAAACAAGTTCTCCTTAACAGAAAATTGACTACTGACAAATATGTGAAGGGCTCAACAGCCACATACAAAACTAACCAAAGTAGAAGCAATCGTTCTACATAAGTAACATGTAATTTCCATTAATGAAGCTTCTACTGTAATTTGCTTAATTGTAGTACTGTGTATTTTTTTGCACTAAAGGCATTAGCTAGGCCAAAAATTTTAAAGCTCCCCCACAAAATCTTTTCGTAATTTACTGTGTAGAACTACAAGCAGTTAAACAATGAGTTTCAAAAAATTTAAGGCCTCCCAGCACTTCTATGAAGCACTAGAGTGGTGACAGTGCTACATAATCATACTTTCTTTTTCTTTTTTTCTGGGATAACTATGACACTAATTTATGTCTTTGTTAATAAATGTCACACCATGCCGAAAAGCCACTAGAAAGTTTTCCAAGCACACATACTATACGTTCATGTGTTCTTGCTTTTTTTCTCACTATACCAAACCTGTCATACAATGAATTAGAGCTTTCCAGTTGTGTCACACAATGCCCTTTTCCACTTCCTCATTTGGTAATGTAATGTAATGTAGGCACAATGAAGAGCTTGGAGAAGTCTGTGGCATTACAGTGAAGTCGTGTCTTACAGAATAAACTTCTTCCCACTTTTCACATTACCTTCTTGCATGTGTCTCTCAGACTGCAATTTCATGTGCAGAGCCTTGCTCGTGAGAATCTTTAGTACTACTGCTGCTTAATACATTTTCACTTACCAAAGAATTTCGTTCAGCTCCAGTACATTTGTAACGACAACACTTTTGCAGAGCCAATCAAAACTGAAATACACTTTCATAATACCAGCACTATCTTTTAATTTAGTTTTATTTGACTGTATTATATTGAACAAGCTTAGAAAGTAGTTATCTTTTTTTATTGAATACCCTTCTTTCATTTAATGGGAGATGCCGGTAGAAAAACAACACCTTTTTTTCTAAAAATTAGATTTTTCATTTTTATTTGCTTTTACAAATATACTTCCTCTACTTTTACAATAAAAGAAAATCTGAAGATTTCAAAAAAACTTGAAATAGGATAGGACTTGTCCCCTAAAATGTCTTATATACACTTTCTTGATAATTATTTAATGAGAGCAAGTTTAGTTAATAACGGCCGAGAACAATAAATTTTTAGTGGCATAAAAAGTTCACTACCACATTTACTCACATAATCCTCGCACTTTTTCCGGCGGAAAACCGATGCAAAGTTGGGGCCTGCGAGAATTATGCGGGGAAAACTTTCCACGAAAACGTACAGAGCGAAAAAGAAAACGAAGTGGCCGCAAATCGGTATTCTCACACCAGCAACTAATAGCAAGCTTTGAGAAGTACTAATTAAAATTTACCTCAACAATAAAAGCAGAGGTTCAACACAAGGCAAGATCTATTTGAGACACGAAAAGTGCAAGCAAATAGTCGAGATTTAGAATGCCATACTTTCTTGTGGGCGTTGCGGGCGTAGTGGTAGTGTTTGTCACTCAACAGAAGCCCTCAAAAGGTAAGCGTAGGATGGCAGTATTTTGCTGATGGCTATTTAACAGAATCGTTCACGGTTTCCTTTTGAAGAAATAAAGTTTACATCCATCCCAGTCTTAGACATATGGCAGGCCCAACACGTCTTGGTGGCTTTCAGCTGCCGTCACCAGTAGCGAACACAAAACTCGTCGACTCCGAAGGGCCCACCAGCGGCTCCGTTGCCGTAGTTTAGTGCATGATCAATGACTTTCAACTTGAAAGCAGCCGTGTAGCTTCAATATCGCCCCATAACGTGACAAGATTACAGACACAACGTACAAAATATGCCACAACGCGCACTTGCCACTTTGGCTTGGCTTAGATTAGATTGAATCTCCGTGCAATAATAGTACACTTGATGTTCAAGAGACGGCGCCAGATGGCGCGCGCTAACATCATCAACGGCTGGAACGAGCAGATGACATTATTGTGGCAATTTTCGGGGGTGCGATAATTACTAGAGGAAAAAAAACGTATTTTTGTTGGGTGATGTGGAGGGTGGGAGAATTATGCAAGTGCAAGAATTACGCGAGTAAATATGGTACTTTTTTAATGCTGTCATGACATAAAACTGTGCAAGTTATTATAAAACTAGTTACATATTTGAAATCAGCACAAAAGCCTATATATACAGCGAAAATTTTATTGCCCCCTGCTACAGATAAATGTAACGTTTTTTTTTTTTTTCAAAGTACACCACCCCTTCACTCTTTTGTTACCGTGCAAAAATGATTATCTTTCATATGTCTATAGCATGCATTGCAGCATACCAAACCGTGCACAATGCAATGCACTTTCCAAAAAACATATGTTGTAGAGCAACAAAAACATTTTGGATTGTATAAAAATAAGAAGAAAAATGTGGAATTTCGGGTTCCCAGCTAGTAAACAGTGCAATAGTAAACTATACATACAAAAATATTCAAAACTAATAAGAAACAGTATATACATCTTGAAGATAAATTACACCAGCAACAGTATAAAAATAATACATATTGTACAAAAAATATTTCTTTCACACAGACGAAGAAAATCGAAACCGAAGTGCTGCTTCATTCTTCATGCCATGCGGTGAAGCATAGCTTGCTTTTTCAAGAAGCACAAGTGAGTTCATACACTTTTCTCAGTAATTTTTTTGTTTTGCGATAATAGCCTGCAGGTGTTGCAATATAGATGGATGCCTGTGATGTGAATAGGTAATGTCTTTATAACTCAGATGTCTAATGAACTTTTCAATAAACTTTGCATAGGTTGGCATTCCAATAAATGCATCCAGGCACATTTCTTTTGTATTTTTGCACATCATAATAATTAGTCGATGGCAGTTTACGATAGGCTTTAAGAAAAACAAAGTTATCGAGTATGCCAAAGGGCATGGCAAACTGGCGGCACAACGGAAACGCTGTGCATCGGGGAAAAGTGTCCGATACTGGAGGAGCCAAAGGCAGCGCATCACATCCTACAGCAACTAAAAAAAAAAAAACTGTTTCATGAACGGACTGCAGTGCACCCTGAACTACAGGTTTTCCTTCTCACTTTAATCCAAGTGCCATCCTAAATAATCTGCATGCCATTCAAATAATCTGAGCGCCGAGCTATTTAATCCATGTGCCAAACATTTAATCCAAGCACCAACATATTTAATCCAAGCGCCAACTCACTAAGGCCGCGTGCCATTGAGTTTAATCCAAGTGCCACCATATTTAATCCAATTGCCAATGACTTTAATTCAGGTGCAAGTCAGTTTAATTCATGCGCTAGAAACACACAGTTAGCAACTATATGTAGTATAAATGTCAGAATAACGTAAACATGGCATCACAGCAAAAACTTTTCCCTCGGCTATACATGGTAGCGCTTATGAAATAAAGTGCGCAGTGCAACTTCCCCAACATTTTGGTGTCATAGCTTCAAAATAAAAGAAACAGTCAGTAGTAATTACATTTGTAGGTACTTAAATGTATTTGCTCATAGAGTCCATGTTAGTCTTTATTGCACTGCTACTGCTTCATTCCGGTTAACCATCTACACCATCGCATATGCATAGATTCGTGTCGTCTGCTGAGCAGACGGCATTTGGCTACTTATGCTCTGAGGCTACCGCAGTCGTCTGCTCAGCCCAGAGAGAACAGCGACCAACAGATGATATTCATCCGGTCTTGAAATCAGAAATAACCACTTAAAAATACCAAACTTGCATTTATTCGGGTTCATGTGGAAATAAGTTGTTATAAAAGCATCAAAATAGATACTCCGGTTTTCATGTAACAGGCGACGCTTAGTGTAGCTGAAGCGTGTTTACTTGAAACGTGTGTTTTCATACGGGAACATTTGCAGACGAAGAGAGAGCTTTGCTTGAAGTCATGGCTGGACGCAAACGAGGACCACACTTTAAGAACCCCGACGAACCTCGTCGAAAAAACAGCAGAGTATCGGTGGTCAACAGGGCTAGGATTGTGGACGCTTACAGGCGTGGCGGTGACTTAAAACAACTGGCCGACGCTCTAGGCATCAACATTAAAACAGCAAGATCGATTGCCGCTACCGACAGAGAAACATCAAAGCATGGTGGGGGTTCAAAAAGGAAGTTTGGAGATGACGTCGTGAGTACTTTGAGACGAATTGTCGACGAAACTGTACACTTACATTGAAGCAAATAAAGGAGGCCCTGGAGAAAGAAATGCCAGGAGTAACAATCAGTGCAAGCACAGTCGACCGCTTGCTGGATGCTCCCTACTACTCCATGAAGCTAGTGACGCAGATGCCCACAGATCGCAACCGTGACGACATCAAGCACAGCCGCATGCTGTACGCCCAATGGCTGCAGTCTGATGGACCGCGTGTTTGCCGCTTCTATTTGGATGAGACTAACTTCAATATCAGGTGTTCCAGGAACTTCGGCAGGGCAGCTAAAGGACAACTAGCTGTGCACATTACTACAACGACAAAGGGAGTGAACTTGAACATTATAACATGCATGTCCGCAAATGGAGTTATTCACTGGACTGTGGTGGACAAAGTTCATTGGGTTGTTTTTAATGACTTCCTCAGTGATGTTTCGGCCTGCGTAGAAGGTGATGAGCCAAATACTGAAGCTGTATTCCTTTTTGATAATGCACCTGCTCACGCTCGAGCAGAACAGGCGGCTTTGGCTAACTCCATGCACTCTATTAAGCGCCTGCCAGCGTACAGTCCCTTCTTTAACCCTATAGAAGAAGCCTTCTCGAAATTCAAGTCACACGTGAAGGCCTACCTGAGCGAACGTCGTAATTTAGTTTTAGTGACACCGCAAGGCATGATGAAAAAGGAGCACAGGCGTTCTTTGCTGCTGGATGCGGCTCGCCACTCCATGCAACAAATACAGCGCGTGGACTGCGCGGCCTTTGATCGGCACAATTTCTCTTTCGTGCCTGCCGCTTTGCGTGAAGATGACTTGTGAACATCCGTCTCCGAGCCCTATGAGACAGTTCCGTTTTAATAAATACACAAACCTGTGGCTATGTTGCATTTCTTGAATAAATAGTAGTTCTCACTCTTGTTTTTCTGTATATGTATATGTATGTATGTGTACACGCACGCACGCATGCACGCACGCACACACACACACACACGCATATATTTTTGTGTGTGTGTGCATGCGTGCTTCTATGTGTGTGTGTAGAGATAGAGAGGGAGACAGAACAAATAATTTAGTGATTGCACTGAATTCGCAAGCTTCCAATGTGCGATGAGAGGCATAATGCCGCGCAAAAAAAACACGTACACAAAAAAAGAAAGCTAGGCCCAAGGTCAGTTGCGTGTTATTATCATTTTGTTTCCTCTATGTTCGTTTCATCGCATTCGTCAAGTACGTCACAAAACTAACAAGCTAAACGAACAATCAGTACTGTTCGTATCATTGGAGACATTTAACTTTGTTTGAATAAAAAAATAAGAGCATATAATAATGTAAAATAAAACTTCTATTGCCACATCAGGATGATCAGTTTACGTTTTATGTTCACTACAGGAAAAAAAAAACATATTGGAATTATCTCTAATTCACAGTGCGTGCCGCGCGACGGCTTCCTAATTTCTTCAGTATGTAGCTGTCTTTGACCCATCACTGCCCGGGACCATGCTTTTAATCTCTTAGCATGCATTCCGGCACTTCAATAAACATAGTGTGTCGTTTGCATTACATGACCTGTCCTGGTCATGTAATGTTGTAGTGTGTACCAAAGCCAATTATAAGCTTCGGTGAAGGATACTGAATTTCATTGCACTGTAAAATATTCAGTAATATGTTCCTGCGTTTTTTTAGTTTTCATTAAATTTATTTCACCTGGGCCAAGCACTCATTATACAAACTTGCGCATAGCAAAGTATAAGCACTCCAAACATGGCTTAAACGAACCACGGCAGTAATTTTTTTCAAGAATACCATCGGCGAATACAAATAATAATGATTTATTCTACCTTCCGACTATTGTCTTTTATAGTGTAGGAACTGCATTTCAATTGCACTGTCATTTTTACGCCCCGTATTCTGGTTTTTGTGCATGGATTAAACTTACTGGCACCTGAATAAAGTCATTGGCAATTGGATTAAACACTGTGGCACTTGGATTAAACTCCATGACACGCGGCCTGAGTGAGTTGGCGCTTGGATTAAATATGTTGGGGCTTGAATTAAATGTTTGGCACAAGGATTAAATAGCTCGGCACTCCGATTATTTCAATGGCATGCAGATTATTTAGGCTGGCACTTGGATTAAAGCGAGCGGGAAAACCTGTAGATATGCTACTCACCGAATTATTCTGAGAGCTACGTGCAAGGTCACTACCCGTAACAGCGGAGTGCATCGGCGTGAAAGCTCTCGAGATAGCGTGCGACTCTGGCCTCACGATGATGCAACTCAAGGGATCCCCATCGTGGGTGCGCCAATTGATGAATGGAAGGCCTTTGCGCTGAGGCGGCTTACTTCCGTCTTTCCACAAATGCTGGATCAATAACGCATTGGATGGAATGAAGGACGATGCACTCTGGCACGTTACTAGTGAAAAGCAGACTTCGTCAGACTGAAGTTCGAACGTCTCTGAATGACAGCACATTGTGGCCTTCTGGTGTTTAAATACATAAGACTAGTGTCCAAATAAAAAGAAATGTCACCACAGTGAAGCTGGTTGTGTCGTGTATTTACCAAGGCAAGGGTGCGCCACGGTAATTTTCAATTTTTTTAAATTTATTTTTCGGCGATTTGAGGTTTGGGAGGTCGACCTATAGTCCTGTTTTTGCAGTAGTTGCAATCTGCTCTATCATGTCCCTTACATGTCAGTGAAAAGAATTTAAAGACTACCTCCACATATGTAATAAGCTGCACAGTCATGTCAGTTGTTTTGGTAAAGCCTATCTTAGGTGAATGTTGTATTATTATGCATCTCCCACACATTTCGCTAGCATGAGAGAAATCAATCAGATGGTTTCATTTCTAAGTGAAGTCATCACGATGCACATACTATATACAAGGCACCCATTTTATGTAGCCATTAGCAGCTGCAGGAACTGCATGCATATACCAAACAATATCAAGGAAAAAACATCTCCTTACCTGTGTTTTCTATATACTGGCACAGACGAACAACAACGAATGGTACTGAGCCTTGCTGTGCCAGAGAGTCGAGGGGTGCGCCAAAGATGCGAAGTGCCAAAGTACCAGATTTGCGACGGGCCAGCGGTGAGCCTAGCAGCTTGCGCACCCGTTCCATGCGGCTCTCCCCGCACACCTCTATGTTCTGCAACCAGCCAGTACAAAAACACTTTCAATGAAACAGCATGGACAGCATGCACGGTCGTGCCTCAGTATCACAACCCAAATCTTAAAACAAGCTTTTCACAGTAGGGGTGTGCAAATATTCGAATATTCAGTGAATATTGCATTTGTAATATTCGTATTCGATTTGATAAACACATATTCGGAAATTTCGAATATTCGCACACCCCTACTGTGAAAAGCTTGCTTTAAGATTTGGGTTGTGATACTGAGGGTCGACCTCTGTAATATTCGTATTCGATTTGATAACCACATATTCGGAAATTTCGAATATTCGAACTAACTCAAATATTTCTCGAATATTCTATGTTTACCAATATTTGTTCGTAGTTTTGTACAATTATTCAAATGCTTCGAATAGTCAAACGAATATTAGGGTATTTGAATTTGGTTCCGTTCAAATTTATATTATTGAATATTTCGAAGTATTCGCAAGGAACAAATAGGTGAACATTTTTCTGAATGTACCGCCTGTACAGGTTGTTCCACTGCAGTGTAAGCACGGAACGAATCGGAGCACATTTTTTCGAATGTACCACCTGTAGAGGCTGTTCCGCTGCAGTGTAGGGATGCTAAACCGTGCAACCACCTATTCAGAATAAATCCACTCTACCACGAAGCCCCCCCTTCAAATTTCAAGGGGCCCCACAACACTTCTCAAGCATTGTCAGAAAACGATGCCAATAGGTAGTCAAGGCTACCGAGGACACGCAAGTCAAATACTATAGCGCAGCACGCGACGTGCGATTCACAATAAATTCTCAAAGTCAGCTAAACATTGCTCCATTCCCTCGGCAAATGACTCCACCAGCTCAGAAGGCACATGTGACGTTTTTTTTTTCCCGTGCCATCCCTGCCTGCTTAGCTTCCAGTGCTTTAGTCCGGATTAGAAGAGAGAATGCACTTGCAGCATGCGAGAAATCTTTGCAACTCTGCCCGTACTGGATAGATTCTAAAAATATTTGCGGCGGTGAATTCATGAGACAATAAATAAGCTTCTTTAGTGAAACCATTCCATGGCTACTTGAAATAGTGTCGCACGGCCCCTTTAAGTGAAGATATTACTCTTAAATCAATTCACTTTATTAGGCTTAAAATATAGTTATGACGGCTTATATGCTCAAAGTATAATAAATCTTAAAATGTTACGTATTTTAATGTTTATGACTCGCATTCTGCTGAAAGTAAAATTTCACTACTACCTAAAGTTCTTTCGACTTCTTTTGAACAAAAAAAAAAAAACTTTGCATAAAGGCTCTATTTCATTTTTAAAAAATTTTCATATATTCATCTTAAAAATATGTCATATATACGATTCGAATTCGATGTGAAATTATTAGACCAAAATCACTATTCGCTTTGAATCCGAAACTCACTATTTGCACAAGCCTATTCGTTCACACATGTCACTGTAAAGAACTTACGATTTTATGCATTTGCCATAAGAACCTCAGTAGATCACGCAGTGATTACTATGACTTCGGTGCAAATGCGATGATGCCTGCATGAAAATTCATGGGAGCGTGATGATGGCTACCAATAAATGCGCCGGCAAGTCATCGCTACAAACCTACCAATGATAAATATCTCAATCAGTCTAAATCATGTACTACCAGCACAGCAGTACGTGAGGCTTAGCGGTTTCGCGCTGTTATAGTTTAGCACTGTTACGGTTCATGTAAGCGTACCGACCACGCCGTCTGCTGCCGCGCCTCCGTCAGTAGGATCGCAAGTGCGTATTGCTCGTGGAAACGAATGCAATTCCCCGCCACCACATTGGCTCGACAAAATAGTCTTCACACCTTTGCTCGGTCGTGTGCTGAGCAAGCACGAAGAAAAAAAGTCTTTACGCAAGGGCAAATGCACGTGTATACGTTACAGGGCGCAGCGCTGATGAAGTGAGCCTAGTAGGCGATGCCCTGCACACAACTTGCTTGGGGCGCACTCAGTTTGACGTACGATGGTAACGCATTTCATGTATAGCCACGCCATTTTTAGCCAATGGATCACTGTAGAAAAGTACGAGCACATGTCGAAGCCTGACGAGTCGTCCGTCAGCTGTGCCGCTACTTCAGCATGTATACCCTCTTCATAATTCCAGAATGATTTTGTGATAGCGGATATGATCATGCGAATGAGCTGAAGTGTTTTTCCATGCAATGGCAAACATATAAAAGGCCATGCACTTTCGGTAATGTTACAACGGTGTCATCACATATAGTTTTTCGTTGCTAACGGTGACACACATAAGGTGACAGACGAATTACTGCGTAGTTCCCCTGCGTTCCCGAAAGCGCCTTTGAAGATACGTCATACGGGCATCGCGCTCGTGCGGCAACGTCTCCTGCAATCAACTCTCCGTTACACTATAGTTATGATCTTGCGCTTTTGCCAACATCAGTTTACTGCCATCTATAGCCAGTACGCCAAAAGGGGTCGCGATGTGGCAAAAGAGTGCCCTCGCCGTTGGGAGTTGTGGCCCCGTCAAGAAAAAGGCGTATTTGGGGCGTCTTGCTATCACACATCAGTAATCATCTATTTCGCGCGCTTACCTCGCGTTATCACTGTGCATGCAGTACACCTTGGTTACTACTGTGCAGATATCAGTGCAACACAGCGTTCTTGATCGGAAAATGGCAAAAAAATTTGAAGGAAATCTCTGAAATCACGGTCTTTTGAGCCATAACTGATAGTGTGTGAACCCGGATAAATTGTGACCATTAGACTGCTTTAATAATCACTTAGATTCAAGTACACTGGTGTCCACTGTTAACACAATCAAACCAGCGGCCTCTTGCTCACTAGTCATCATGGCAGGTACGAAAGCTTTTCTTTTTGTTTTGTAATAAGTCCTACCATATAAAAAATATAAAAGGTTTATTCAACATGTGGATTGAAGCCAAGACATCATAGTCACAAGCTCAACTATCACAGTCTTATGCTTTCTGGGAAGTACAGATGGTGACATTTTTTTACTTTTGTGCACAATAACTGACTATAATAACAATTGTACTGTTTCCAACCTAAATATATGATTGAGTAAAAAATTACTATAGGAAAAAATTGCACCTCTTTAATATTCGATATTTGATTCGTATTCAAAGCTATGTATTCGTATTCAATTCGTATTAGAAAATTTTGATACTCACTCATCCCTACTTTTCAGTACTGCAAGTAGTTTTTCCTAGTGACTTTTTATGAGGGCTGTCCAGTTACTAAAGTTCTGACATTTTAGTTAGTTTGGTTACGACGAATGCTATTAACCATCGTGGAAGAGAAGAGAGGGGAGAAGTCCTAGACATCCATATATAAGTACAGTACGGTGAAAGAGAAGACCACTGATTTACTTGAGCAAGCTCAAGTTTCTTGCCATTCTGAATTTCTGAGACACCAAATCTGCAAGTAGCCTAACAAAATTTTTAAAAAAAGGACAACTCTAACAAAATGCATCAAATTGAGATAAACATGAGAAATAAACAGTAAAATGTATTTAACTGTATACTGCTATAAATAAAGGAGACAATGAGAATCAACCAGATGAAGAACAAAGAACCAGCGTTACTTGCATCACTTTCACTACTGATTACACCCTGCAATAATGCAGGAGCTGAAGTTAAGTTACAGAACTGGCCAAATCGTGTGACCAGAGAGTCAAAGAATGTAAAGACCGGATTTTACTATAGTTTAGTTTTGTTACAATACAGTTGCTGCGGAAAGATTTGATGTAGATTGCCTTAACTGCTCCGTTTCTCTGCTCATAAGTTGCAGCGGAATGGAATAAGAGAACAATGGTGAAATACACCAATTACAACTATGGTAAAATTTCATACCTACGCTAAATATTGATTCTAACTGAGAAGAATAATTCGTTTACACCTGGTCCGAAAAATATTTTGAATTGTTCTTGTTTCACACATGACGTGTCACCTTACCTGATTAGCTGAGGTCATTTCAGCAACTGTGACGTCTGTGCAAAAAGTGGGTTTGCGCATCCTCAAGCTGTGACGTTCCAACTAACAGGCCAGCCTGGCAGCCGCCGTCTACTGCACCCGACTTTGAGAAAGATAAAATGAAAGAAACGTCAACAGTGTGCAACTCACGAGTAACTGCTTCATAATAAAGTTCATGAAGTGCAGTTTATAAAATTATGCGTTTTTTAGATCACATAGCCATAACCATACACTCTGAATTTAACACGGGCACTCATAGTTGCCGAGATGGATACTGTACCTATGAAAAAAAACTTTTGTTTAATAAATATGCTGTTTTTTCTAAGTCCTCACATTAAACAGGAATAGGAAAAAAAGCAGGAGAAAATCGTACAGCTTCTACTGTTACAACACATAAAAAATCTGGCAAACGCTACCATAACAGCTCTCTACAGCCTACTGCAAAGGCAGGAAAAATGCCATGCAAGGGCAGCTTATGAATAAGGTCATATTCATTGGCACAATTCACTTCAATTGGACGCTAGCTCAATCTGGCAAAGATCCCAGTCCGAGAGCCAGTGAAATGCAGATCTCCTTGACTCTCTTCCCGAATAAGAGAGGGCACTCGACTCGCTGATGCCCATTCCAGGAAATATGCCGCACGCCTCAACACGTCGCATCCTCAAATGCAGCAAGCAAGACCAACTCAACGTGAACCGACGCATTGTCTCCTCTCTGTCACACGTAGGCCAACAAAAGCTGGAGTAAGCAATGCCCTGAATATATTACTGCTCTATCTGTAAGGTCCAACATTTTTTTAATTTATTTTTTGCTGAAACCGAATTACAGAATTTGACTGCAAGGCATACGAAAACCATGCTTGTGATAGCCTTCTGTGCAGTGTGGAAGTAATCTTAACAAAATTAGTTGTGAAACAGTACACGTAGTATGAACAGAGGCAACTTTATTAAGTGGCCCAGATGGAAATGGTTCTCTGTAGCACCCGCATGAGGAGGACTACCTTCATGGGCTGATTTGCAGAGCTATTGGAGGCTTACGATAGACTGAGAGATTAAACTGATAAATTAGTATTAGAAGTCCTAACTATAGCAAGAATAAATAGAAAGAAAAAAAGGTCATATTCGGTACCCTGCCATAGTGCAGATTCACATGCTTCATAAGTAGTGTTCGATATAAGCCAAAGTAGACAGTGCAATCATTACATACCACTGAACTCATTAAATAGCAATAGTACAAATGAACATACACTGTTCATAAAAGTATCTGCAAGCAGCATTAACTCTGCCAGCAGTGTTATGTCACTATCCAAAAGAAAACAATTCAAGGCTGATTTGACAAGCAAGGACTACAGAACAGGCAGTCATTCATGATCAACTGTAGGAAGCCACAAAGAGACCACAAATGAATGAGTGCAATATAAGTATATAAGACCACCAGTAATATATGCTGCAACAGCATGTTTGCAGAGCAGACAGATATCTAGAATTTCTTCTCAAGCATTGCCGTCATTTCTTTATGAAAAAAATTCATTCAGTTCTTTGTTATGATGTGCTAACATATTTTGCATCCCTCTGCTCGAGAGCGAATTTCGTGATAACTCTTGCAAGTAATCAGAGCAGGCTGGTGGACATGTCTTTTGAAAATAACGCTACTGTCAGTCAGAAAGGACCCCCAAAAGGAACATCTATCCACGTGCCAACAAATCACCTTGTCTGCAGACCCCTCTTTTATTCTTTCTATCCATGTCTCAGTCTTCCTCGTACAGCTCGATCATTCAGTCTTTCCAGGCACATGTCGTCGGCACTATCAGAAGAGGGGCGCGAATTGACGCAGGTTTACAAAGGGGGACAAACTACGCAAGACATCACACACATAAACAGTGTGTGTCAGCCTATCATGGCCCATCAAGTATTAACACAAATGGAAAAAAGTGATGCAGAGGAAGAACCTTGAGCACAAGGATAGTGGGATCCTACTCCCAAATATTAAATACGCCCCATAAATATTCTCTCAAGACAATTTTTTGACAGCAAGTGCAAAGCATTGTGAAGCTACATACAGCAGTACAGCATCTGCACAAGCACTAATGCTCTACATTAGTTCGGCAAGGTAGCACTGCCTTTGAAATAGTGCAGCTTCTTGTTTTTACTAAAGCAGACCCAATAAAACCAGCATGCATGTACTAAGTTGAAAATCACCTGCTCTACACATTTTGAGATTGACTTGCTGTAGCCACTATAGTACGAGACAAGCGTGAGGCAGTGGGACATAGTAAGCTGATACGAAGTACACAAACACTAACATGAAACCAGTGATTCATAGTATTCACACTGACACACTTGTGAATACTATGACCCTCATCAGGTTACTCTCACAGTACAATTAAAAAAATAATCATGTACCAGAACTCATCAGGGAAATTACAGGCACACACTTTGTGAAGCTTCCCAGTTAGAAAAATGCCCCTGAACAGTGTCTGCAAGCCATGCACTAAAAATAAACTCAATCATACTCACGGTTCAGTATGACGATGTTATTAAGACGAGGTGATGAATAAACGGATCACAGGAACACAACACACTTGGTGAAGCACAATGGATGAGTGAGTTACATGGCAACACTGAAACGTCCCGAGTAGTCCCCTTCTTATGGTTGCTTGAGGAACCGGCAGGAGACCAGCCGCAGTGACAGCATTCGTGTCACGGTGACTGCTGGTTAGAACTCTAGTGGCTCCTTGGGCCTGGCACTGTTGACGTGTTGTACGTCGTCACCTGAACACGACAGTGCTCGAGCACAACGGGTCTCTCCTGCAAAATGTGAGGGAACATGCAATATAAATGCCAACTGCACAAATAATAAGGCACGCTAGCAGTAGAGCTACAAGGGAAAGTGTCATAGTGTGCGATTCACTTAATGGATCGAGTGATTCACAGGTCGAGTGGTGCAAATTATGTACACATTGTGGCGCTGTTATAATAACAGTGCATGTATAAACACCATTATCCAGCACTTCTATAATCAAGTAAATATAGGAATCTTCCCCAAAACTATCCAGTTTTCTCAAAACAAATTACGTTTCTACATAGTTCGCCTCTGGTATAGCTTCAAATTACTATATGCTATTTCACGCCACTAAAGACGTCCTAATTTTCCTGCTCATTTTGCTTCTGAAACACCGATTAACTTTACGTATAATGCAGGAAATGTGGGCATCAAGGCATACATACAAAGAGTTGAACAAAATTTTCCGAGAAAAAAAAAATAACATGTAAGGAATATTCGTAGATGCGCATAGCTGGAACGTTCTGAATGTTCCAGCTGTCTGCATTGCTTCCTAAACAAATGACAAAAGAAAGCACTTTGAGCCCACTTGTGACCAGCAGGACAGCTCGCGTTCACTCGGTCAACGCGTTCTCATGTGATTCTCAAAGAGAAAAGAAGAGAAAAGCGAACCCCGTAACTGTCTGCATCAGAGTGCGACACCTCAACAGTAGCTCACGAGGGAGGGGGGTAAGGAGGGATTGAAAGGATAGGAATAAAGGTATAGAGATAGAGAGGGAGAAAGAGAGAGCGTGGCGCAGGGACAGCGAACGACAGAAAACGACGGAAGTAAGGAGGAGATAGGAAGGATCGACACGGTCACAGGAATCCGAGGACGGGGCACCACTCGGCGAGAGCTCTTGTGGGCGTCAGGAGATGGCATAGGACGAGCCCAGTAGGCCAGAGTTGCGCTGTCGTCGGAGATCGCGGAGGCACAACCGGTCGGCACGAACGCGTTCACGCCCAACGCAAGCATTTCCTGACAGCGTTATCAACCAGACCCACAAGGCATCACCACGCCTAATTTCTAACACCTTATTTCTGCAGGACAGACGCTTATATGTACTCATATTTTCTACGCACGGTCTCAGATTGGAACGAAACTGAGGCATCCTCATAGAATCTATTTATCCTTCGCTCTAAATAGCATTGCCTTGCAAATGCAGGTTTCCAATCTCTTATTACAGCGCTTTTCTTTTCCTTTTCTTTTTCTTCTTGTATGTGCTGTACTTATTGTATACATATGTATTCATTACTTTCTTGGCTTGAACAGTGAAAATTGTTGTATTTATTGTTTTGCATTTATTATGTATCTATTTTTACATTAATCGCACAACATATGAAGTATGAATGTGTGGTACCCGGCACGGTGGTCTAGTGGCTAAGGTACTCGGCTGCTAACCCGCACGTCGCGGGATCGAATCCCGGCTGCGGCGGCTGCATTTCCGATGGAGGCGGAAATGTTGTAGGCCCGTGTGCTCAGATTTGGGTGCACGTTAAAGAACCCCAGGTGGTCAAAATTTCCGGAGCCCTCCACTACGGCGTCTCTCATAATCATATGGTCGTTTTGGGACGTTAAACCCTACATATCAAATCAGAATTTGTGGTGTGTTTTTTTTTCTCTTTTGTCCGGTACATGCGTTTTTGTGAAATAATTTTCGATGTCGCTCCTTGTGTTCACTATGAGTGTATGAAACACTCACCCCCCAAACAATCTTTATGCCACTTATTGTTTCAACTATGTCCTCTTGTAACTGCCCACCTGCTTGGACTTAAGGGTCTACAGTATGTAATAAATAAATAAATAAATGAAATTTTTCTCATTGGTTTTACAGACAGATTAAAAGAGCAAGTGCACGTGTGCTCCTGCTGCGACAGCGGCGGAAAGTAGATAAGAGCTGTTTGTTGGGCAACCACTAAATTGGTGCCGGCCTCTCGCAAAACCGGCGCACGTCGACCGTCAACAAACAATCGCCAAGTTCCAGCGAGGAAAAAGGCATGAAGACTGCGCACTGCCAAGTACAAAGTGCTATCGATGTCTGCAGTACCATATGTTTCCAGTGGAATAGAACTGTCTCTTCCGGGCGATAATTTGACTACATTACGGTAGCCTTCACACACATCTTTGACACACACACGTTTCTACGAAAGCCACTGGATGGAGTTTCGGTATCGTGCTGGCAATTCGTGACCTTTAGGCTCGCTATACATTTGGCTTTAGTTTCAACGTTTCATATCGTGAAGACTAGCAATTCATCGCATCGGGACAAAAACGCGCGAAAAAAGAAAAAAAAACGAAAGAAAAAACTGGTAACAGCGCCTACCACACTATCACATGCATTTTTGCGCAGCGAGCCGGATGCACTGGTCGGCTGTCTCGCGAGAGCTACCTTAATCGGTACTAGTTAGTGAACAGTATATATCAAGATGTTGTTCAACAAGCATCTAACTACGGCCAACACCGCCGCGCACGCCCGATTCAGGCGATACAGCGCAGGTTCGCAAGGCTTCTTGAGGACGCACTGCAGAGTTCAAGTAAACAGTCGTGGCAGCATGAGCACATTAAAGCGGCCACGGCTCCTCAACGATCGTTCTTGCATCGAAGGCACCAGACGAGCGCTCGCCGGCGACAATCGATCTGCAGTGGCTGGCGCTGGTTATATCAGTAAGTGCACCCACCAGTACAGCTACACCGTGTTGCGATCGGGCTATGCCTTGACCCAGCGAGTCATTTGCCACGCCGGATTAGTGCAAAAAGGACAGTCTCGCCACGTCTGGACGGAGGAAGCCACAGAGGCCGGCCCCACGAGACGTCGCCTGCTGATTGACAGCGGCGCCAACGGGATGGAATGTCGCCAAAGAGGGTTTTGGAGCCGCCACTCCATCTCCCGCCTGGGCCAGTCACGCATCGTTAGCGCGTTAACCGGCAGACGACGATGGCGCTGGTCAAAGGGCTCTCCCCAGAGGATTCCACGAACCGGGCACCTCTCAAAAGATCGGCGCTTGTTTAATCCATTGTCAAGTAGCCGACCGGCTGACTGCCTATGCCCGCCAGGCATTGTCCCGGAGTACGAGACGTAGTGTCGCCAAGACGCCACCAAGAGGACAACAGGGACGGCGTCTTCCTGGGGGAGACCGCGGCGGCTGCCGCGGATCGCCCCGCTAATTGAGCGAACATAATCGGCGGACTCTTGGAAGTATGCGGCCAGGATTGTGGGCACTCTCGACTCACACACGACGAGGAAGAGCCCTGCGGGCGCCACCAAAGTGCAGTGTTCACGTGGACCTTGCATGCTCGCCCCCCTCACCTGTGTGTGCGTGATTGGTGGTCGACTCGTAGAGGAGGAGCCCGACAGGGCATAAAACGACGCGACAGAGTGCTGGACGTCGCTCTGAACGATGTAAAGTTTAACCACCACGCTCGTGGTTTGTGAAACCACTAGTTCTTCTCTTCTCTTCTGTCATCTCGACAACTCCCTGTAAAGATGTAAATAAACCCGTTAAGTTTGCTCAAAGCTCTCCCCTAGTCCTTGGCTCGACGGAGCGACGGCGATCGGCCCCGCTACCCGCAGACTGCGGTCGCCGCGACTCGCAACAACCGGTGGCAACAATGCAGCGGGCACGCCACAGCGAGCAGCCGGTCGGCGCGAGCCAGTCAGCATCGGGCACGGGCGCTATGAATACTCGAGTACAAGTAAAACAAAAATTGTGGCTTTTTGCCTTCTAAGGACCCCCTTCCGGCCAATGGCGTCGCCGTGTCCACGCGGCAGACCGCCTTCACGAGAGGAATCGCAAAGCAGCGTGTCCCAATGCGGCCGCAACATCACATCCTTTGGCAGCGAAGAGCCACTTTTGTCATGACTCCCGGTCACGGCTGGGCTAGACTGCACCAAAAAAGCGCGCGCAGGTGCAGTCTTGCCCGGCCGTGCCCCGGTGTAACAGCACTCGACAACGTCTTGTGAGATGCAAGAGAAACCCTTGCACAAGTCGTGGTGGAACCAGCACAGCGATGCTAGACACGATGTCGCGCACAGCCGCGAGATGACAATATTGTTTCTATGGTAATTGAGGCTCCACGCATTACTACGTCATTTCCTTCCGTTGGCTGCTGGTATCGACATTCGATTGTGGCATGCTGACGGAGCTACCAACGCCGTCCGTACAGGTCCTTCTTCCCTTTCATTTATGCCACGGCGAAAGAATATTATTCGTGCGCGCGGTACCCGTCCGTAGTGCATTCGCTGGGCGGATGCTGCGCTGAATTATCACCGGCGCTCTATCGCTCACGATTGCGCAAACACTTGCAGCAAGACACGAAAAGCAAACATGCGAGCAGCAGGGAACGCCGCCAGATTTGCCATGCATTCCACATAATTTTTCAGCGCAGCTCGCTCGCTTCCGTGTGTACATACATAAATTCACGAGGGGATGTTCGCCGAACGGGTCGCCCACAAGCAGCTAACGATGGCGCAAGTATGCACCGGGGCCCAACTCGACGTGACAGACGTAAAATGAGGACTTGGTCGACCGCAGGAAGGGGGTAATTAAGCGCGCAACGCAAGCACAGCCATGCGAAGAGGAAAGGGAACTCGGGCGGCCGCACACGCCTGTCACAAGCGGGCTTAGCAGTGGCAGCACAATATGTACGCACTGCGTTGACACAGACGAGCAGGCACGTGTTCACGACGTGTTACAGTACAGTACATGTGTAAGGAGCTAGCGACGTGCTGTCGATCAAAAGACGCAGAATAACTTGGCAAATTCACAACTCACGCTGTTCCCACGACAAAGGGTGGCCCAAATCAAAGGTGTCACAATATTTACACTGGTGAAAAAGACGGAGAACCTGCTCGTCAATCACTCACACTACTTTGGCGCTGGTGCAAAATGGCTTAGGGGGAGGCACGTAACCACTCCGAAACTGAAAATTAAAAAAAAAGGGGGGGGGGGGAGGCGAATCAGTGCTGGTTCGCCATACTTTCACCGT